TTAAAGGAGTCATGCATTCAATCTAACTTCAGCTAACCCTTCAGGAGTCAGTTAATCGAATGGCACAAGGCACTCACTTAAGATCAAAAGCAAAAGCTGGGTTTGATCTCTATGTACTAGATTGTATTTCAGGGATAACATCCTCTTTGATTTTACCTCAGAACAAGGCAGACTAAAGGAAATAAAGTAAAAACATTTTTAACCTCTTTTTAAAGCCATCAAACTAAACGAAAGGTTTAATCTACCCCAGGTCAGTGTAATCAAATTTTGAACAACATGGCCCAGGGGCACATTTTTTGTCAGGTCAGTACATTGTAGCTTTTCTGCTATCAAAATCAAAAGAATAGACTCTACAAGGTTTAGAAGTTGTTCTGACCTTCCCCAATGAGTAAAATTTTAAGTCATAAATGTGAAACTCGGACACTAACACTAGAAAAAGTTGTGGAATGTTGTTTGCTAAAAATGAAGAAGCCAATAAGATGATGGAAATTAGTCTGATAGGTTTGCCTGCCAATTGTTATCTTCGACGTATTTGGGCATAACAAGGTCAAAAATCTTTTGAAAAATAATTTGTTTCCCTTTTTCAACTTTTGACATGCTGGGTATGATAACAATTATGCTTTTAGATTGTATTTTACTTATCTTTTGGAGGACAGACACAGAGGATGTCATTAACAGCACATTTCCCTATTTAAGACTTCGAAATGTGGTAAGAATGTCAGTGACCCACTTGGGTATGCCTGGTGTACCACTTTTTTGTTCATACCACATACTGACCTCATGTGACATTGTACTGTACTGATACACAGCAATATGGAATGTATTTAACTTTTAGTTAAGTGAAAGTTTTGAAATTATGATCTTGAATTTGAAGAATAGGGGACACAATTTAAGTTTCCTTTGGTTATTTTCATAATTCTTTGTGCAAACTTCACAGTGAAAGAAGATTTATACTGATCGGCTTTATGAATACAGTCATGTAGAGATCACTGGATTTGCAACGCTTTGGCATTGATTTGGGTTTGGGACATTGATTTTCTGTGCAGGAGTTTTGGTATAATTACTGTATTTCCATGAATAGACACCCACTCACTAGGCTAAATGTCAAACAAGTGCTGCCCCCCTCTAACTTTCAAGGCCAAATAGATAAAAAGGCTTGCCCACAAAGTAAACAAACGTGACACAAAAGCAATTTTCAGGTGTTTTTATTCAACAAAGGCATAGCACATTTGAAACAAAAATAAAGTAAAAGCTCTCTTATGTACAGTTGCAGCAAAGCAATCTTGAATTCTAAATTACAATGTTGGGACAACACGATGCCAATTCATAATTTTTATACACAATTGCAAAAACAAAAATTTGTCAAAATTTGTGTTTCTACTCACTATTTTCCAACAGAGCAAAAATAAACTTTTGGTAGAAGAAATGAAACTATGGCTAAACAGGCTGATCTAGAATAAGAAAACCAACCTTCACCTTACTTCTCCACTCTAGATTCATATGAGGGTAAATTTGGAGGACAAGGGAAATTATGCGTGGTCGTAACATGCTCTCGTTCATTCTTAGTCATAACACGACAGCATTTCAACCCTTCCCATCGGCAAAATTTAGTAGTAAGGAAGACATGTCTTTGCTTTCCTGTTTCGTAATTTTTATCAGATGAACACGGTGTTAATGACTAGAAGAAAAATCAATCAGTCATACGACAGGAAGGACTCTTCTTCCTTCCATATTCCCTCTTGATGGACATCTTTAAAGAACGTACACCTCTCTAAATCGAACACTTGGATTCCACTCATTCTGTTCTAATTTTTCAGTTGTGTTTTTAGAGTCAAATATAATTGATCTCATGTCTAAAAGGAGAGGAAGGCTAATTATGGAAGCGGTTTTTTCAAAAGGACTGTTGTACTGATACTACTCCATCAAATATTTTAGTCCAAAAACAGTCTCCGGCTTGGAGTTCAGCCCGCTACCGTTTATCCGCACACTCCCTTGCATATTTCCCATCCATTTAAAATGCAAGTCTGCTCGCAGAGTACCATTATTTCACCAAAGTCAATGCGTGACCGACTGCAATTGTAATTTCAGGAAGTACTTTAAAGACATCAGAACATATGGCTTCGTCAGCTGTGCGCCAACTCAGCCCTTGCCTCTCGCCTTAACTGCACAGCATTTACCACCATCACAGTTTCAGATAACAGAGATTCGAAAATAGCATCTGCCACTTGGAACTTCACAGCAAGTTCATCGTCATCGTAATCTACCCACAGTGGCTCCTCTTCTCGAAGCTCCTGGATCAGGATGGCGTCAACGAAATCCTTCTTTCCTACCTTCAGAGGCGTCTTCCGACGAACACGGTCGAGAGAAGGCCTTGCGTCACCCAAACCGACTAAATTCAAAACTTGTTGCTGCACAACAGGGAGAAAGTCTTCTTCGTGGACAAGTGGTTGCAGACTGCGATGCAGACGGCGTTTTCGTCGCGGTTTCGCTTTCATCCAAGCTGGCCGCCTCGCGGAAGTCTCCTCAGATAAGAGGTCTTTGAGCAGATTGCCTGTCAAATCGAACACTAATCGTCGGTAAACTCGTTTACTATTGGCTTCGAGGTCGTCGTCCGCTTCGTCGACGCCGATGATTTCCGATGGGGGTGTTATGTTATCTAACGGCAGTCCTCTTCTCTTACGTTCGAAGAAAACAGAAAGAGAGGAAGCCACCAATCGGCTGACTTCACTAAGACGATGAGGGACGGAGAAAAGAAACGAAGCTCCTCTAGAACGCCTGAATGTCTCCTCCTCTTCTTCATCTTCGTCCTCAGTGGGAAATTCCATGAGAGCATTGGTGTTAACTTTAAATTCTGAGCGTTCATCATCACCTTCGCCCCGCGCACCCTCCAGATGCTCGTGTAAACGTCTTAACTGATCAAGCTTATCTGTCAATTCTCTCTCGTTGATTGAAGACTGCTGCTCACTTGTGGGACTTCCTGGAGGTGGCGAGGTGTCCTCAGTGTACTTCAGTAATCCGTCCTGAAAATGTTGGACGGCCATAAATCGATTGCTTCTGGGCGACGAAAGAGGACTCTCTTCAGCCGAATGAGGTTCATCTTCTGTTGCTTCCCTGGGGGAAGTACTTAAGTCAGCGGTGTTTTCAGCCTTGGTCTTGGAAAACTTTTCTTGACGAGATTGCATAATTGCAATCATTTGCGCGGCAGCCTCCTTAAGCAGTGCGTCTGACAGTTTATTCACGATGTCGTCACTCTTTTGTTCTGGTGATACCTGCTGGCGCTGTTCAGTGGGAGAGGGAGCCAAATCTTTTTTCTCCCTTTTCCTATGGTCCGGTCCAGAATCCAAACTTTCGTTCGGCTGGATGGCGGATAATTGTTCAGATATCTCGTCTGTTTCGGATGTTTCTGCTAATGATCTTGATACACCATCTTTTCCATCCTCAACAGATGCACCATCTTTTGCCGCCTGTTTCGGTAAATCTTGGTAGACATGGCGACGTTTATCGAACACTCTTGTCGCGAAGTTCACAGACTCTTTCAGTAACATCGAAGACAAGTCCTGAGAGATTCTGTCAGCAGTTTGTTGATCAGATTCACGGCTTCGGGATTCTGGCGACTGCTTACTTTTTAGCAGCACACCAGGCGATACTTCGTCGTCGATTTTCTCCTTCTCATCAACGGATTCGTGCTCAACCTGTCTCCGCAGACTTCCCTGCTCATTTTTTAAGTCACTTTCCTCAAATAAGGACCCACTATCATTGTCTTTGCTTATTTCTTCAAGGCCTTCTATGTTTTCACTCAGTTCTTCTGCAATGCTTTCTTCGTCGGTAGCTTGCTCTAATTCGAGAATTGGAATTTTAGGAGGTTTCTGAGCTTGCTCTTCCTGAGGTGATTTACTGTCATCCACTTCAATTACTTCAGAAAGTTCCCTTTCCTTCGAGGGAGAACTGAAGTCGTCGATTTCTTCTTTTTCCTGAGAAGTTCTGTCATCCTCTACTGGAAAGTTCGACTCGGATGGTTCGAAATCTGGAGTGTAGGAACCACGAGGTTTTCCTTCGTCAGTTTCGTCGATCGCAGAAGGCTCAAAGTCATCGGTGTAGGAAAGAAGTCCGCTTTTGTTTTCCTCCGGTCTTAGTAAATCTTTTTCTCCTTTTAACGACTGTCCCGTCTTTTCAGACACGGGGCTACTACTTTTAGCAGAAAGTGATGTAGATTTTGGTATCACTTCCACTTCAGATTTTTCATACTTGGTGCTAGAAATATCCTCAGGTACTTCAGAAAGGTCTTTTATCCCACCTTCACCTTTTAATGAAAACTGATCAGGACGCGTAGATGGCTCATCTGGGACGCCATCTTGCCTTTCAGACTTGTCGCTACTTTTTCCGTCTTCCTCAACACTGATATGCTCACTGATATCGTCTTCGGTTTTGTCCACTTCACTCTGAACACTCTCAAAAGACGAACTGTACACGTGTTGAAGACTCGGCAATTTCTCCGACAAAGCGGGGGATTTTGAACGTCTGGAAGACTTCGATCCGTCGGAAACAATCGATTTTCGCCCGCTGACGATACCTGACTGTTCTGAACGATCGGTGTTCTTCGACTCTTTAAGTTCATAAGTGGAGTGGCTCCCAGAGTGAGAGGATCTGGACCTTTTAACAACTTCGTTTTCTTCGCTCAACGATGTATTTTCCGCTGTCCTCGCTTCATCAGTGATATTTACGTCTACCTCGGACCGCTCCCTTAACGAAACCTTGCGATCATTATCCGATTCTTTCTGACGACTAACTGACTGAGATTGACTAGATCCTCGAGAGCTATGTTCTGACCCCTCAGAGTGAGATGCCTTGGACGGTGTTTGAACTTCGATGTCCTCGCTTATGGAAACATCTTCGGCCGTCCTCGCCTCGTCTTTGATTTCTTCTCGGGAATCGTCAGCATCTCTAACCGACGTTTCGCGTTCACTGTTGGCCGATCCCCGAAGATTTTCCGAAAGAGTTTCGTCGGGGGTTCGAGTTCTGTCGGTAAAATTAAGGTCTTCTCTTTTATCCAAGAGTGTTTCGCCTTTCCCTGATGACAAATCATTTCTCTTTCCTGTCTTAATCTCACTGACAGAAGAATACTCCTCGTCTTTTTCTTTTAAGCTGGGAACATCACAAATTGTTCGATCACCTCGACTTTTAACTTCCGCATCCACAGCACTTAAAACTCTCTCCCCTGCCGGCTCACTCCTAACAGATACTGTCACAGGCTTGTCCGGTGCGGTTACCTTGCGACTTCCGCCCACATCTGACGTTCGAGAAAGATGGTACCTGACTTCACGGGCACTGGAATCGTTTTTGGCGCTCGTTGGGTGTTGGTCAGAAGAGCTAGACTCTGGTCGTTTTGAATCCGTTTGAGGTCGATTGAGTTCGGCTTTTGTCCTTGAGATTACCATTTCCACAGCCTAATGAAATAAAGAACAATGAATGATTGAGATTTCTTCGCTGAGAAGCTATCATATGATAAATACACATTCTACAAAAAAAAAAATGCCGTTAGGGATTCACAGTGTAGAGTTGTCTTTCTGGCTCCTTAGACTGTTCTCATAAAACCGGCTGGTAATTCTATTTTAATTGCAAAGAGTACTTTTAACGCATAAACAGTCATTACAGAGAATATCTAACAGTAACTCGCCTCTGAATTTTGAAAAATATTTTTCATTCAGGCCGAAAGACTGAAAACAAGGTACAAAGTTCAACTTCACGCGCATGTCTAGAAAAGCGCGTGACAATGACAGCGTAAGCAACAACCTCGTGATAGTACTCGTTTTCACGTGTATTTACCTGTAATTCCTGCCTTAAGCTGGCTTCTTGAGCCCGCAACATAGCTTTTCTTTGCTTTTTCCTTTCATTGTACAAGCGCTTAACCTCGCGCTTGCGTACTTCAAGTTGGTCTCTCAGGCGGCGAACACGAGACTCAATGTCGCTGTGGTCCGAGGTTTCTGGCGACAAATAAAAGAAGTAAAATTAACTATTACGATGTTTGAAATATGACACTTGAACTTTCTGCCTTAAGCGGAAAGGGGTTCAAAATAAGTGAGATGTAACCATTCAAACGTCAAGTCTTTCTTAAGAAAACACCAGAACCAAAATTGTCCACAGTGAAGGCAAATTATGAAAGATCTTCCCAAAGACGGACCGATAGACCTAAGAAATAAGATAAGATAGAACATTGAAACAAAAAAAAAAATTAATTAAGCGAATGGTGACAAAAGCCAAGAATTTAAATGTTAGAACAAAAACTGTGGAAACAAAGTGTTCATTAGAACAAATAAGAACTGATGAAATGGGGGACGAGTTAGTAACTTGCGTCACACCACACACAGAAAACTCCCACGGATCACTGTTAGGGGGAAAATTCACACCTAAATATTTATTCTTAACGCCACGGGAGGCCGCTGTCTACCGAAGGGGAAGCCACTGAGCAAGAACGTAATGCCGTGAATACTTTTCTTTTTGAAACTTTGGTTCAATTAACTATGGTAGGCCTTACAGCAAACTGAGCTACGACCGCGTAGGGTCTGTTGCCGCGTAGTAAATGATCAAAGAGCAAAACATCTTTGATCTTTGGTTCGCAATTTTTCTTTTTTTTTTCCCTCCTAATTTGCATATACTTATTAAACCTGTCTCGGGAATATCTTCCTTTTCTAATACCAAATGGATCGTGTTTCCCATAAACAAGTTAGCTGAAAAAACTTTCCTCAATAGTCAACGTGTCGGCAATCGCTCTATGCCATTTTAACTAAGATCAACTTAATTTATACTGAAACACGCGATCGCTGATATACGCTGCTATTAACTAGAACACAGTCCTGTTTCCAACAATCCTTTGATTTCAAAATTAGTTCAGCGGTTACAAAAACGCCATCGACGGAGAACAAGCGGTTGAGCAAAATGTGAAGGTATCAAACACAGCTGGCACCACAACGTCAAAAGCCATTGGAAACTGTTTGGTTTTTTCCTTTTCCCGATTGAAAAAATATATATATCCAAACGATATCTTGTAAGAAAACGACCAAGGAAAGCAGTTTATAACATTTTTAAAGCTAACATTTTGCAAGCCAGAGGTTTCTTGTTCTTGTTCACGCTAAGGGTATTTCTCGCGAAGAAAAACTCGTGGGACGAAAGAAGTGCACGCATTTTGGTGCAAACGTTACTAAAAGAAAAAAGACTACGCCAAATCAAATGGATTGAATACACATCTTCATATCTTAAGGTCTTGAGGAACAAGATAAAAGAAAATAAGCATAACACTTTTCTGGTTTGCGCGACTCGGCCAATCAAACCCATTGTGCATCTTAATAGTTGCAACTGCTCACAATAAAATGTTCTTCCTTTCAAGCTAAACTCGTCATTAGAGAGATTAAGGCGTTCACGCAAAACGGCTAACGTTAAAACTAAACTACTGCCGCCTTCTTCAGCCTTTTGTGTACATTTATGGAAATATCTAAGTTTATGGTGAACATGAAGTTTTTTCAGTTTTTCCACAAGATTGATTAAGGACTAGAAGAAAGTGAGCATACTTGGAATTCATTTTTGCCGTAACCTCCATGTTTTAAAGAACTCAAATGCAACTAGGTCTTCTAACGAGAAAAGATCATTCTAGAACAAATCTTATACTCGCACGTGAGCAGAGCAAAGTTAAATCACGCTTTAACCAAACAAGCCGTCGTTTAGATCTGTTTGCGATCAAGAAGTACTTGGTCGGAAAGCGTACGTTTTGCCATTTCTGGTCTGTGATTAAGTCAAATGCTATCCCCAAATAAGACCAGAGGGTTACCCTTGCAACATTAAATTAAACAGTTAACAAAAGGTTACATAGAAAAGGTTGAGCGACCCATTACGGCTTGCAAATAAATTACTGTATTAACTGGAAATACTGTAGACTTCAAAACATACTGAACGGACGGAACTCCAAACTCGCGTAGACCCTCTCGTTTGTTTGCTGTTAATTTCACGAAACCCAAATCATAGGTTTTAAAAATATAAAAAAATCAGACAAAAGTCTCGTCAATTATTGAATGCGTGGTGGAATCACTCTTGTCTTCACACGTTTGCCGTTTCCTAAAAAAAAGTTTCACGAACAAAAAGACAACGACGTCCTATCTGGTAGTAGAAAATCAAATTTAACCAATTTTAAACAAAAATTTAGAGACCATTATTTCGAATGAGGAAACGGAATTTGCGTCACCGTAATAGAAAGGCTACCTCGACCGGCCAGATGCAGCCTTCACTGCTGTTGACAATAAAATCACAAGGGAAAAAATGTTCAAACTTACGATAGGTAGTCAAACATATCTCGTGAAGAGGCAGCGGAACTTGTTATGGTTCAAAGTGAAAAGGACAAAGAAAACCAGTGCTATATTCGTTCCACGTAACACACGACGCTGAGCAGTAATGTAACTAATAAATACGATCACAAGTGTTCCACCGTCCCGTCATTCCTCGTAAGGGAAGTTATTTTGGAATGGTATCGGCGCAAAATATTCAGTGCATTTTTTTAAGGCACATAAAAATCCTAGGGAAACTTTGCTGGAGGCGATAGCATGTGCTAACAAGAGTTTTAACCCAGTTCAACAAATAACAAGGGAATCAAATATTGGACTCTGTTGACATTCCTCTCTCGGCGAAATCTGTGTAATTTTTTTCCTTAACAAACCATAGCGAATGTGAGCGAAAATAAGAAAAGAAAAGAAAAGAAAAAAAAAAAAAAACAGCGAATTTAATGGGCTTTCGATGAAAGATGTTCAAAGTGACTTTGTCATGCAAATTACCATGTAGTGTGGATGATATCATGATTATTTCCTTTTCTCGCCCACAGTTAAACTTCCCCATCGATGTTTCGCAAACATTAGTTGGAAAATTAAACGTCTAACACGTGCAACGAAACTATTAATTGTGTCAAGTTCAACAAAGATAGGATTCTCAAACGCCTCGCAGTCCAAAGGTACGCGGAGTCATATAAAACAGCGACAAATTTTTTACGTGCTACAAAACCAGAACTCAGAAGATACGTCAGCAATTTGCACTCAAACTGATATTGGATTTTCTCTGAGGAAGAACCTTTAGAAAAACCTCGCCACTGCATATAAAAGATTCTCTTTTTTTTCTTCGCACAAAAATGCAAATGAACAATTTTTGGGAGAATAAATCACAAAAAAAACGGGATCCTCAAGTTATTCATAAAATGAACAGTGACTGAAACAAAATGATTGATTAAGTTAGCAAACACTCTATGACAATGTCGTAGCGTTATTAATATAATAAGGACTCACTAACACGGGGCGAGTACTACACAAATCAATAGCACTTTAACAAGCACGAGAGTATAATTCATGATGCCCTTCGACTTCGAACGTGCGGAAAATAGGCTCCTAACGTTTGGAATTCATAATCTATCGAAAGCTGTAAATATTCAAGAAAATTCACGCCTTAACAGATAAATACTGGTCCACTACAACAGGATCAACCAAGTTTAGGTGAGATAAAGAATAAAATATCAAACAATTTTCATTGTCTTGAAAGAAGAGAGCTATGAAGAGGTAAAATATTTTATGGTGATGAAACAGTCATCAGTCTTTAGAAATACAATATTACTAACGAGACATAATGGTTTTTCTAAACCAATGTTGTAGACAAGGAGAGAAAATTTCAGCAAACATCGACCAAATAACGGCGTTAAAATTTTCCACTTCAAAAAAACTAAATAAAAAAGCACGGACATTTTTTTCGTAGAAACACGACTTTGAACAATGTATAATATTTACTTACTTTTACTTTTCCCACTTATTAAAATGTTTTAGTTATCTATCGTTGCAGCTCCCGTGAGCGAACGACTTAGGAAAGCACAAATATGCCATTGGCGGGAACTGACTACTGACGAGAGTGTGCTGTGAGTGGTGTTTTTATGGCAGTTCTGCAATAATTGTCGAGCCGCTAGTAACTAAACCATCCGCTAACGAGAATGACCTTTCGGTAACCGAGTTTTCGCTGTAGTGTTCCACAAGAGGAAACCATTAACTACAACTCACCCGTCACAGAGGTGTCCTCCTCACTTTTGCTACCCTCCCCTGTTGATGATCGCCTGCTTAGAGCCGGGGACGTGTCTCGCTTCAGCGTCAAATCGCTCCGCACGGGGGTGGAGTGCGCAGGAGTCGCACTGCTATCTAGCGATTCGAACGTATCGTTGACGTACTCTTCTGGAATTTCCTCGCGAATTGAGCTACTAGCCTGGGACCGAGTCTTCATATCCACCTCAGGAATGGAACTGTCACGTGACCTCTCTGACTGATCATGTGACCTGTCACGTGCGGGAATACTCAGTTCCTCAGCAACTGAACTCTCACTGGCACTATGCTCGGGGCCATGCGAACGGGCCGCCTTGATGGACTCACTGATGCTGTCAGTTCCTTGCGTGGATCTATCTTTGGTGTTGACTTTATTCGAAGGAGTTCTGGATACTGACAGGCTGCCAGAGGATTCTCTACCACTGCGATCTGTTAAAATAACCAGCTCCTTTTGAAAAGATAATCAACAAGAATGACCAGTATGGGAGTAGTAGTGAGGTACAAATCATGAGACGTTCGTCTTATAAACCTCGGGCTTTCGATACAAAATTGGGGACTATAAGGAAGCAGAAAATCAAGTAATTCATTAATCGTTACTCTTAAGATCCCCGTATAGTTTAATTTATAAAAACGAAAAAACATTCTGGAAGTTAACATGATCAAGCGTAAACGAGAAACGCATTACACCTATTCTCAAGTTCATTTCTTTCTCCCAAAGCAAAAAGTAAAAGTCCTGTTGCGAAAAAAATCCATTCCGCGTTGCCGAGGATAATCATGTACAGTTAACAGTTATTTACCGAAGAGATGGTGAATACTGGCGGATTTTTACCGCTGGTACTGCGAAGCAACAGAGTAAGCACCCGTCACTTTCACCGACACCGAAGTAATGCATTGTCCCAGTATATATCACACAAGAACCAAAAAAATCGGTTATCTCCGTCAATGTAACAAAAAATTGGTCGCTCGATTTTGTCTCTTCTGCTGCTCTGAGGTGAATGGTACATGCTACTCACTTTCGAGCCAGCCAATCCGCACGCGCGAAAGACACTATTTACCTGCGTGGTTTACATTAACTCCCACAACTCACCTCTGCGAATCAAATTTGACTGCACAGCCCTTGTTGACCAAGTTCGAGGTCCGCACTGTTAGTTACGAACGAAGTTTTTTTTTTCCCCCTCGGATTTATGGCCCAAGCGAGAAGCGCGCGGTTCATAAATCCGGGCGAAAAGAAAAGGAGGTTCTGTGACTCACAGTACGGACCGATAAAACGAGGTTAGTAGGATATTCATCATATCTCTGAGTTCAAATCGAGGGGAAAGATTCCAATTTAACAAACTTTGCAATTAAGCAGGCTGTACAGTGCAATACAGTTCAGTTGAATTGACTGATAAATCATAGCGCACGTACAGACTGCGAGACATAATAGCATGACGAATTTTTTAAATCCGTGATCTATCATTCATGTCGTACCTTTATGTTCTTCTTCTTCGCTTGTTATACTTGTTGTCCTTGTCTGCTTCCTGGAGCTTTCAAGGTTTAGAGCTTCGTTAAGCAGGTTCCTTACAAGACTTTCTTCTTTGTCAAGTCGCTTTTCCCATTCCAAAAGTTTCTTCTTGTTCTCCAAAAGATTTTCAGCCTCTTTCCTTCGTTTCATAAGCTTCTGCTCTCGCAGAGTTAGATACCTGTGATATCAAAACAAAAACATCACAATTAACAATCAAAATCAGTAAAGAAAAACTCAAACAAAACAAAATAAAATAAAAACAAACATGAAAAACAAAGACACTGGCGCGAAAACTAAGAAATGCATACACCTATTTACCCAAGCAAACATCGGTACAAAAAGATACTAGTTAGCTAACCATTAAGGCGCATGTTACACCACGCGTGTTTTATGTTCGATCAGTGAAAACCTTGCTTAGAGAAAATTTACAAAAGCCGACGAGTGGGATCTCTCAACTCTGAGGGTTAAGAGTATTACAATCGCTTAAAAACTTTCTGAGGCCTTCAGCGATTTCCACCGAAAGTTGCGGTGCATTAGTTGGGGCAAAGGCGATCCAAATAACATTTGCATTAAAACAAGCGTTCTTAAGTCGACACCTGCACTGAGTTTCGAGCAGTTACGAAATACAAAGGAAAAAAGAAAACAAAAAACAAACAAAAAAGAGGAAACAAGTACATCAGAAAAACCGGAAGTTCCGCATCAGCTTGTACAGACGGAAATTTAAACATAGACCACAGCATGAGACCATCAAAAAGGGTTTTGGATCGGAATCATCACAGAGAGTGGACTTAAACTTTGAACGATGGTCTGGTGTATTTCTATTCCAGACAGTCACATAATCCCATTCAAAAAAAACTTGTATGAATTACATATTTCCAGATATATACAATTGCCCGTGGTAACACACGAAATGTTAAGTTAAAAGCCAGAAAATTTTCACAGAATCATCCCCTTCACCCAACCACTTCCTTCCTGAAAAAAAAGGAAAAAACTGAAACAGGATTGTTCTGCGAAGAGGTTGAATGTCTACAAACTGGTTTTAACAACAATGATTGTTACACCAGTCGAACAAGCTGTAAACATGACAGCTGTACAATTCGTGTGGCTAATAAATTACCTTGAAATTTATAAGAATGAAAATTAAGCGAATTTTGAACTGCCTAAAGAGACAAATTGCTCTTTGAAAGAGAATCTCGGGATTATTAAAAAAAAAAAAAAAAAATTCACGAACGCAACGTGCGTGCTTGGTTAAGCATGACGGGTAAGGATATAGAAATGTATTAAAAAAACATTTTTGGATGAAAATTTAAGCGTCAGACAAAGAATTTTCAATTCTACCGAGTAGAATTCTACTGGATCATAGTCGGGGTAACTGTTTGAAGCTAACGATCAGCGAAGACGTCTTCGTATACATAACAAAAGCAGGTGGAATGATAAAGAAGCAACAAGTGCAGTACCTTCTCACGCAGAAAAACAACCACATTATGACCAAGAAACTGCGCAATTTAACTGCTTGCGGGAACCTTTAACTGATGCAGCTTTAAAACACAGCTACATTCCTCACAGCACAAGCGATTTTACGCGGGTTTTGATCAGCGACAACAACCAATTACAGTTAGGGTTTTGCAATGTTTTACCAGGCCTTTTTATTTGTTTTCATTTCTACATCTTTTTCTGGCAGGAGTCCACGGTATTCTTACTAATCGTGTTTTTGTTTTGTTTTTTTTTTTTGAGCACGTGAATGGGAACTTTCTGGAAAACTTTGCATGGAAAGCGCGTTTTGCGAATAAGGACGCCACGAATTTACAGACCTTGCGTCAGGCGCTTGTTTAGTTTAGGTCGCAATTTCTTACCGAATCTTCAGAACTATCGTCATATACTAACGCTACAGGCATCACGCAAATAGCTAAAGGTGAAACCTAATCCCGCAGAAAATTTTCATTAAAACAAAACGCAATAAGAATTGTCCAAAATTGAAGAGGAAAGGATACTTCAAAATGACACTGCTTTGAAGTTTTGTTTAGTTCAATATTGGTTCGAGTTTGTCGCTCCTCGTCGCTAGTGATACGTATATTCAATTTAGCAAACAGAATTGGTGACACACAAGTACAAGACTTTGGAGAGGGTTTTACAAATGCAGTAGATGTTGTTGGGTAAACGATGGCTGGCTGTTGTCAGGAGGCGAGAGATTTTTAAATACAGCTTAAAACCCCGTTAGAAAATTTCATTGCATTTTTATATCTTAATTTGTTTGTTCTGAAGACACTTACTGGGTACAAGCAAAAAACAAAAAACAAAAACAAAAAATAAACGGTTATCTGTATATTGGGCGAAGAAATAATGTTGGACTGAGGATTCGCCAAGAAGAACTCATTGTATAACCTTTCTCTAACTCAACACACGAAAAAAGACTCTTCTTACGGGTGGCTACCACATATAAATCACAACATTTCAAAAAGTCACAAACACACTCTCACCTGCGAAGCTTGCGGCACAGCAAACAAAGCATTGCTCGGCGGAAAAAAAAAAAACTAAATTACTCCAGCAAAGTGGATTCCGGAGCAATTAGCAGATTCGTTTTCAATACAAAAAGCGGCACCGGCCATGGAATCAGGCATGCTGGATATTTTCATTGAATGTGTAGCTTTTTTCGCTTTTACACCTTGTGAAAATATTTTTTGGAAATATTCAAAGGGTTGTTTAAAATCGGTGAGACGTGTTTCAGAATTTAACGAAGTGTGACGACATGTCTAAATTTATAACTTCTAAGTTCTGTTTGCATATTCGATGCAAAAGGAAAAATTAAACACTGTGGATCCCTTAAAAAAAATACAAAGGAAATAATTTTTAAGCCGTTTGACACTTTAGTATAAAATGTCGACGGGTAATTTCTGTCAGTGCAGTTGGTCTTACGTTTAGAACGAAAGATAAGTGTTTTTAAATAGTATATTACAACTTGTGTTGTCAAAAGCTACACAATCCTCTTCAAATTGACACATGCATAATTTCGTTAGTCGTCAGTAGGCAAAAACGTGGTTCCCCTAAGACGTTATGACTGTGAATCGATTACGAGAACTCAAATTCAAACCACTTTTCGCGAGGCAAATAAATAAAAACATTCCCTGACAGTATTGCATGTTTTAAAAATGAAAATGACATAATCCACACAGTCGGAATTAAAAATTTACCGAATGTCAACAAATCGCCGATAAAAAATCATAATGCCGGTTAACTCACAATAGAAAATACAGAAAGTCGTCAAATACCGACTGCCTTAAAGGATAACCGTGAATTACAGCCATCAAAACTTACCGGGCGCACAACAGAAAACACCATGTTGTCGGCATTGACAGTTGAGTCGCTAAACCGATCACAGAATGTGAGGCGCTACTTACGTCAGTAGTTGTCAATTGCTAAAAGAATTTACCGCTCCGGGATATGCCTGGACTCATCGTTATATTGGCTGGCCGGCAGAAAGTTTAAAACCCACTAAAAATTAAAAATGTTAAATAGGCTTATTCAAAATCGACAAATCGTGAAATTGCCGCTCAGAATTTTGTCTTCGCGTTGCCGGAAGGAGCTAGAAACTTTAAGCAAATCAAAGAATCAGAAAGCAGATTTTTGATGGCGACATCATTCACATTTTGTGTTTGGACATGCTGTAAGAACATTACGATCTCAGAAACGATCGGCGATATTGCCTTCCGTAACATACAGATTAACATAAGGATCTTATCGTCGATGTTTAACCCCAAAATAGCACTCGTGTCATTCACGTTTTAGATTAGTTTGGTACGAGAGATTGACAGATATGACTGACTTTGAATTAAACAATATTTATAGCAGACAAAAGGTCTCAAGCTGGCTGATATTTATGCGGTCAGCAATTAGAAAGAATAATCATCGCGCGCCGTAAATTTAATTGAAGAAAGCTTAATTCAATTTAACCATGTTTACAGCGCAGCGAAAGTCCTCGACTAACGTGCTTGTTGTCTTTGCAATCCAGTCAGTTTAATTTTCACTTCCTTGTTAATACTTTTCGACTCTAACGTTACCTATTATTGATTACCGTGCATGTTTTAGACCAAGATCGAAATTTTAGAAATGGTTTTAATGCCCACAACCGTAAGATCAACAAAGCGGAGCTTTTAAACACGTCATCCTCGCTTGACTCCTCAAATCAAAACAAGAGTTTGAGTAGCACATGATAAGAGCATGATATTCTACATAATGTTCATTTCCTTTCTCAAATATAACGAACCGTCAACATTTTAACGTAAGCTATCAAAGGCAGAAAAATGGTGGTGTAACTAGCACTGACTCCTTTTCATAAGCATGTATGGCACGAAACATCAAGACCAAACAACGCGTGACGTGGCTGAACACTTAAGATAGTAAAAAAAAAAAACAAAAAAAAAAACAAATGAATGAAATCTACACGACACAACATATAGACCATATTTACTGCAAATTATAATTTCAGTCAAACAAAAAAAATTTAATCAACTCGATAGTAACAAGTACTACAGCAAGTCTCAAGCAAAAACCTTCAGGTAGCTGCAGTTCCTTACACAATTTCCTTGTTAGCTTTCTGCATAATCAACTTCCGGCTTCTATTCATAACAAGCCGAGGTCTATAAACACCTATTGGTACGGAGTACAATCGTACAATCACAAGGAAAAACAATCCTATCTTCACTTCCAAGAACGTTTCATCCCCGAGATAAAGTTGATGTAACTGCTGATAGCAAGAACGCAGATAAACTTTATCTTCCCACTATACTCAGCGTGCGGTGTTGCCAAACGATAAGACTGAGATATTTACACAAGAAAGATTGCCTCCAAGAATAGATAACGTAGACACGCTTTCGCAAGGACAATCGAAACACTGGAGTTTTGAAGACTTGCGCGTGTGACACAACCGTTTTCGATGTTTTCATAAGACTGGCGCACGAAATCTGCCAGCTCTTTATTTGATCAACATTGATACCAAAATTTGGCAAGCAGGTATCTCGACGCACTGAACATTGCCAATTCTAGACCTCCCCTTTAACATTCCAACTCCCCTCCAGGTATAATTTCCACCGTTTAGAAGCCATCCTGTAACGAATACGTATCAGTGCAGGGCTTGTAACCACGATTTTAGACTACAAAAATTTTTAGCTAATGAATGGAGCATGAGGATTGAGTGCAGCCAGTTTCCTTTCCGCTACTTGTTATTCAACACAATCCCTATAATCAACTGACCTCTCGCTGGATTGATGTTTTAACTTTTTCAACTTCTGCATAACAGTAGAATCTGAAGCTGTTGGTGACCCTTTTGTGGCGGACACAGTCCCCTCCTTAGCTGAGCCTTCATCGCTGTCACCCTCTGATAATCTTCTTTTCCTCTCGCTGGTACCAGACTCAGCACTGGAAGGACGAGACTCGGCCCGACTAGCTCCTGGAGACTGGTGGCTAGGGATTTCTTCAGCGATACTCGCCGCAGCGGAGGCCGAAGGTGAAGCAGTTTTGATGTCTTCGGAGACGGATGAGCGACTGCCAGTGGAATGATCCGCGGGTTTGTCATCCAACTCCTCGACTATCTCAGTCGATTCAGCCTCGCTCTGAAAGAGAGGCAACACAAGAAGAAATCAACCGATGAGCACCCCATAAGTGAAAGAAAGAGGCAACTTGCCAATAACAACTTAAGTCGTTTAACCCTTTGCCCCTTTGCACCCCAACATCAGTATGCACATTCTCCCTACTTTCTCTTTACATTTTCTTAGGTGCTGACAAGGAGAATTTGTTGAGTAATCAAGAGCTTCTTTAGTTGGAGATCATTTCCTTTGTTACCGTGACATATTCAGGGGTGTTGTGTAAGGAAAAATTAGTTGCTAGTCACTCTTAGGGGTCAAGGAGTTGAGGAACATGGGGGAAAGGGGGTCAGGAGAAATTAGATGCTAGTCACTCTTACGGGTCAAAGGGTTATAATGGGCACGTCAGAAAGGTACACGATTACTACAATGACAGCACACCAGATTTAAAACCTAATTTGTTGGGTCCGTGAACCCTGAGATAAAGCTAAAGGTGGCAGCGATATACCCTTGCAAAAGAAAAACACCCAAAGAGCAGTACATTTCACATCCAAGGAGAGACACCCCGGAGGAACGGGGGGAGGGGAGTGGGGGTAAAGGAAGATGAGTCGTCGCCAACAGAGTGTGAAGAAGGTCTGCGGAAAATTGACTGCCAATGAGGAGGGCGGGAAATCATTAGGATACTATAGAGCCTTAAAGGGGATCAGGTAAATTTTACTGCGACACAACCAAACCCTTCAACCTCTTCCCTTTCTCCCACCCGCAGGCAATAAATAATGAGCACACAACATTAATTAAAATTCCTCAATCAAGTCACGCAAACAGAGAGTGCCGTTCAGAGAGGTGCACGCGATCAAAAACTACGTACGAAAGCTTTAAAGAAACAAGCTGTTTCGACAATATTTGTTAACAGCACATTTCAAGTTCGTAAAGCCAGCAGAAGGGCACCCAACAAAGGCCAAACTAATACATAACGCAAAATTCTACTCACGCATACCTATCAATGATGCAGCTTATCAGACGATTATAACTCTATACATGTATGAAATTCCAAAATGAGCAGTTCTATTGCTTCTATGTGCCTTTCGTGAGTTCGGCACGAACTTTGACAGATGCCATAGATGACCACAAATGAATACACTTGGAAGTCATCAGGCTGTGAACTCTACTTTTCATTTAACTAATATAAGGAATCTTCAGAAAGTTAAGCTTCCGCTGGGCTGAACCGGTCAGTGCGTCTCGGTTGTCGATGGAGCGGTACTTGTACTACAAACTGAGCGAGTTTAGCGGTGTTGTGCTCGCCGCAAAGCAATTTTATCGCAAAAAAAATGAATCTAACTGTATTCGATCTGTGAACGCTAAAGGAATTAATTTTCACAGGTAAATTACAGTCAGAGCAAGTGAAGAAAGTAAACAAAAGAAACAATTTAGGCCTCGATTAGACTTGAACCGGATCAGGGCTCGACACTAACTTTTCAACGTACTAGCCTAGTGGCTAGTGACAACTTAGATGTTACAACAATTTCAGTTTGTTTACCAGCCAAATTGGCTAATGGAAATCGAAAACCACTCGCCAAAAGTGAATTTCTACTAGTCTGTGGCTAGTTGGCTACCGTTAGTGTCGAGCCCTGCCGAACCCTCCCTGGTATGTCCCGATCAATTTCAAGTTTCTTTCACAGAATTCATATTACAATTCAAAGACAACACTCATATCAAAAGAACTACAAGTGAATCCTTATGTAAGAAGAGCAAAACAAAGAGGGGACCTCACCGCGCAGCGTCTAAATTGTATTAAAACAAAATAACACAGGATTTAAAGGCCTCAGCCCTTGGACCAAAACTATGACCCCCTATCGTAAAGGTCACGGGTTCGAACCACGTGGAGGCTTCCACTTTTCTCATCCTTTTTAATCCAATTAGATTGATTAATTTCTGTTACACTTCACCTTCGCCTGCTCTGCAGAGTCCTTTTCTCCAGTTTTAAGATTATCACTCCGTTCCTGTGCGTGCGCCGCCTGTTCAGTAGCAGCCCTCTCTCGGACTTTCTTGGTGTTTTTTCTCAGTCTTGCGATCTCCTCCTGCTGCATCAACAACAAACGCCGTTCGTAGCTGGCTGCGCGATTCGCAGCTTTCAGGCGCTTAATCTCCGCCTGACGGAGGCAAAAATAACATGATGAGAAACCTACCATTACACAAACGCCGAAGCAATTAATCGTCTTAAGATATCTTCACTATATGCCTACTGGTTTAAAGACAGCATGACACTTCACGTGATCTCTGGAAAATCCTCGTAAGGATAAAAGTCAAACAACAACAGGAAATCGCGCAAGTGGATAGTGGATGATTTTGTCGTGCTGTTAAAGAATAATTTATTGTACATGATCATTTCACTACTGCAACAAGACTTGACTTAGTATGGGAAGTATAAAGATATCATCAAGATAGATCGTTCGAGTAAGGTTAGCTTTCCATGGTCTCAACAGAACTTATTTTGGTGAAAGACAACCAGGGCGAAAGTCATCGTGACAGTCAAGTTACCCGCGCTATGCAGCGGAAGTCACAAATAATGCTACGCAGAAATTTTTCAACCCTCACAGAATAATTCACTGAGATTTCCTCAAAACTGATTTTGTATTACAACTGGTTGACACTGCAACGGTCTAATCAGCACAATTTCGCGACTTGCTGCCATATCACTTTGTGTTTACAAATTTTATTTTCACTTTACCGACCTGTTCAGCTTGAAGTCTCATTAAAACTCCTCGCTGCCGCTTTCTAATTGACGGCATGACGTCATCGGCGCCCTTGTCTCGATGCCTTTGCTTCTGACATTCGAGCCAGGCCATCTCGGCTCGTGTCTTTTCCTTCAGGGCTTTTTCGCGCAGGCGTAGAAGCCCAGCTTGATGTTTGGCTCGAACTTCTTCCTCTTTCATCAAACGGACCATTTCGGACGTGAACTGAGAGAATGAATCTTCACCGGAAAAAGGCGCCGAAGAAAATTCCTCCAACATCTGGGAAAAGCAAGGGAAGGTTGGGACCAATCAATATTCCACGCCTGAGTGGGCGAGGGGGAAAGGAGGAGGAGGGATTTTGGGGGATCACTTGGTTTTCAGGGGGTACGGAGGGGGATCAGTCATCGCTAACAGAGTATTAAGGGGGGGAGGGCTATAGAAAATGGACTAACAATGATTGGGGATCAAAGGAAAATTACAGAGTCTTGAGGAGAATCAAGTTAATTTTATTCTTCTACAACCAAAATCCTCCGACCCCCGCAGCTCGAAGTAAAGGACCAGTGCACCAAATGTTACGAACAAAAAAGGGGAATTCTGTGCTTGCGCCTAGGAGTTTTATCACTTCCCCCCGGATAGGACGCTGGTCCTTCGCAGTTCACCCACAAGCATACCCTTAGATTTCTGTGCCGGTACTCATTTATACTCCTTGGTGGTAAGAGACACTGTGTGAGGAGAGAGTCTTCCCCAAGGACATAACACAATGGCACGGCCAGGACTCTAAACCAAACCTCTCGAGCCTGATTCTAGCGCGCTCAACGTTAGGCGATCGTGTCTCCCGACGAGCCAAATATTAGGCCACTGCAACGTCTGTACAACAATATTCAGAAATAATAATGACGGTTAGTTCCGTACTCAGCCGTCAAATACACAGTGGAGTCTTATGTAGTCTTCTCTGTCGCAACTGAAATCCATCATTATACATCACAACTACCAATCAAACGGAAACAAACTGAAATCCACCATTATACATCACAACCACCAATCAAACGGAAACAAACGACAAATTACCTTATCAACTGGAAAATCCTGAGAGTCATGGTTATCGTCCTGAAAAAAAGAAGAATAATTCATCACTACCGGTTGGCAACTTATTCAACGCGACAGTCGCCTACGAAGTTGAAACAGACATGAAAGCATGTCATTGGAAAAAAGAAAAGCTATTCTACTGCACAACCACAAAATAATAATTCAAATTGAATGTTTCTTTCACTTTGGCTTGAACTTTCACGCAAATAATTCTTAAGTGAAACAGATTTATTATGGTTTTGCTTGTGTCCGTCGTTTTCGTCTTTGGCGTGCAACACGTGCAATCGATACGATTTTCAGTGAACAACATTTTGCGACCTTCTAAAGACCTTGTGACATTAACTCTGTTCGTTTTCTACTTAGTACCCCACTTTACAATATCAGAAGTAATATATACTTACAGACGAGTAGGATACAGTCCCCTGGTCAGAACCTAAGCTGCCCCGCCTTCCTGTCTTACCCAGGCTCCTCCGTCTGTGGCTTTCAGATGGAAGTATCATTCGGAAGTCAATCTCGTCATCTGTTGCAGTGTGTGATGACATCACTGACTCTTCGAAGTTCAGCGTGTAGTCTTCTTCCGGTGACCTTTCTAAGCGTTCTGAAAGAGCGAAAATATTATTTTAGTTCATTTTACCTCAGGGCTAGCTGAGCGTTAATGTTCATTTAGAGTTGATGTTACAACATACGAGTTCATAGGTTCTCTCACAATTGCACTGAGAAAACTAATGGGTTACCTCCACCTCAAGTACGTGAGGAGGTAGGGGGTTGTAAATAAAGCTTTTATCTCACAATTTATTGCCATTAAAGAGGGCTCAAACGTGCAGAAAAAAGAGTAACTGATACAAAGTTTCATTTCGCATGAGCAGGACACAAAGCGTTTTCATACTAACCTGCATACATTTCCTAAGCTGCTGACTTGGACAATTTGTTTAAAAACCAAGAGCTTCTTTAGTTGGTGATCACTTCCTTTATTCTCGGGATCTCAATGCGTGATTCAGGGAAGATATCACAAGGAAAAATTACACGCTAGTCATTGTTAGGAGTCACAGGGTTAAAGTGACCGTAAGGCTGTCTTTTCCGGTACTTACCAGATGGTTTTTTGAGGTCATCTCCCGTCAACACGTCAGCTAAGGAGTCATCATCAGCCAAGTCGAGTCCAACATCAGACACAACACTATCAGCCACACTGTGATCAACTTCTTCAGGAATGCTGCCCGACTCCTCCCCCGCTAGAGTTGAGTGATGCGAGCGCAAAGCAGCTTCTGACCGGGTAGGGATGCGCCGGCTGTGGCTAGTGGAACGGTCCACTGATAGATCACCTGCTATGCGAACGCTAGAAAAAAAGTAATAAATAAAGATGTGATCTTTGGGTTACAGTTACAGTTTGAGTTTCTGGTTCCTTTTTTTTTTTCTGTTGCTGAACAAGTTAACCTGAAATCATTTTATTCGCGGACAAAAGCCGTCTAGGACTGGAGTATACAAAGTCGACCGAACAAAAAAATTTGTACCACACGAAACTTTTTAACCACCAACTAAAAATAAATATCTGGTCAGTGTTAAAGTTTGGGTGAATAAAAAAATTATGTGGAAACACGAGCCGCAGGGGATTGTTCTCGAATCCATCACCGTGATTCTTACAAAACTTCGCGAGTTTTTCATATCAATCAAAACTGAACAACTTTTTTTTGTCTTAAGACAATGCTGTAACGAAGAGAAAGGAACTCATCGCTTACTGCCGTCATTAGACTTTAAATTCTAAATTTGTAACTTATGCCCTCTTCCCCTTCCAAGTGTCAACAGCCTACGGCATTTCCACGATTCTAAGAAACACAGTATTGAACGCTCGGACATGCGTCCTTCCTCTTCAATATAAAGTATACTTTCATTCCCGAATGAAAATGTTAAAAGTCGACTGTCTGATGGCTGCACTAGCACCTTAACATAAGCCAGTTTAAGTTAAGTGTACTTGAGGCGAATCGCCAATGAGTGTTGTCTGCTTGAAATATCATGTCTATGAAACAGAGGGTAGAAGAGAAGACGTTTTGTCCTCTTCCTTTTATTTCAAGCAGAACAGAATCATTCTTTCAATCTTACAAAATCTTCTTCGCGCAATATGATAGGAATGAACAAGAATATGACATTTAAGGCGGTCTTTAACACTTTGATAGGTATGCAACTAATTCAATACTTGTTCTCCTTGATAAATTTCAAATTGGATTTAGCTATCTTCATTTATAACTCAACGGAGAAAAACCACCTGGTGGAACTGTTAAATTAGCCGTTCTCATCGTCATTATAATTATTACATATAGAAATAAAAGCATGCCGTACAACGAATTTTTATTAAGTTACCTTACAGTTCCATCTCGCTCAGAACTTCTTGAAAGATCCACATCATCTCCAACATTCGTCCTACTTTTACTAGCACTTCCCTTGGATTGCGATGCTCGGTCTACCGCATCAGTTCCTGACCGTGAAGTCCTTGTTCTAGAATAGCTATCGCTTCGCTGGCTGGTTGAGTAACTGGAGTAACTGTCACGCGTCACGTCACGGCTTCTGTCACGATAGCTTTTCAGACGTGTTTCTCTCTCTCTCAACAGTTGTTCTTGCTGTTCGTGAAATCGCGACATGCTGCTCTTGACGGCCGCTTCTGCGGCTGCACTGGCTGCTTCAGCGGCCACACCGCGTGTGTCAACGGTCTGTTGCGTAGCAACCTCTAATAACGTCCGTGCGGCTGATGAACGGGCCTGGAAGAGAAGGGCAAACAAAGCTCAACATACAGGTAAGAGGAAACATTTCAAGGACATTTTTTAAAAATGCACTTCTTTTAAATTGATAGAAGTCTAAAAAAAAAAGGGAGAGCTAGCAATCCAATTATAAGGGAAACAATTGCTCTTTAAGTTAAATATTTAACATTGAAGTTGTTATTCTAAATATTCCTTGTTACTGTTCAAGCTTCATCATCAGATGATAAATTATTACATCAGTTGAGAGGAAAAGACGATACACGAGGGGTCTGAGTGCGCTTCGGAGGTGTCTCCCCTCCCCTCCCACGAGGGAGGAGGGACACGCCCGCAGTCTAACATCGTTTTAACGGCTGCTATGAAATGAGACACCGACCTCCTCGACTTGTTTGGCTGACTCGGCTGTGGTTCTTGCTGCTTCACTCTGGACCTAAGGGAAATTAAAAACGGAGAGTAACTTCACAACCAATCAACGACAACTGCAAGACCAACAAATGAACACAACGTGTCACAACTGAGCTGATTACCGTAACCAGCCGGTCAGCAGACTCTGATATGCTAGCAGCTGCCTCTAGCCTCACTCGGGCAATCGTTTCAGCTGCTCCAGCGGCTGCATCCGCCGCTGCCCGTCGAGCCTGAAGTAGAATGAGCGCATTTCGATTGAGTGTGGTAAAAAAAGAAAACAACAACAACAAAAAACAAAAGACAAATACAACAAAAAAAAAACATAAACCAACGACCTATCAGAATTAAGGGACATATGACAAGGAGCCAATGAGAACTCGAATTAAAACAAGCAAACCGCATGAAGCGTGACAAAACGTCGTTAACCAAGATGCCATTGCGTTTAGTTGTGTATCTGATTGGTTCACAGATTGGCGCGAGTACTTTTTGGACCAATCACAGGGTGAAGTGAAGCAAAACCAAAATAATTTCGAATTACTGTGGACAGTGAATTAAAATTGCTTTATCAGTATATCAGTCGTAATGCACTCCTCCTATTTTAGCGCTTTACCTCTTCCAGTTGCTTGGCTGCCTCTAACGCCTCTTCACGAGCCCTGGCTCTTAGATTCTCCATATCTCTGGCATGCGACAGTTGTTTAGACTGACAGAAAAACAGACAACAGTACCATCATCAAAAATCAAAATGTAAACATGGATTGATTGGAAAAGCCACGGTGACCCTATAGTTTTAGTTTACATCCGATTGGATGAGAGTAATGTGATATTCTAAACCAATCACATCAAATAGGACGCTTTTCGACTGATCGTCGTAAAACTAAAGCCAAAGTAATCACAACAGCCAATCAGAAGAGAGGAAAATGCCGTTAAGAGCCAAGAAGAAGTCAAAGCAAAAACAAACTGGCTAAAGCGCGGGAAAACGCGGGCGACCAAGTCGTGATTGGTTTTTGCATCTGATTTGTGGAAAGAGTGGCGCGAATCCACTGGACCAATCACAGAACGAGGTTAAGCAAAACCAATACAATCTTGGAGAACCTTTGATACAGATTACTAACAACACTAAATATAGATGTCTACTACTACTACACTCAATGAAAAAGTGATCCATAGCTCACCTTGAGTATCTGGGCCAAAGACACAGTTTCTTGTTGTGCCATGGACACTGCACGAGTCCGCTCCACGTCAGTCAGTTGTCGTACTGATTCCTCCATGTATTCCAATCTGTTCAGTTCTGCTGTGAGCCTCATGTCTAGAGACCCAGGTGAGAGACGGTCGCCCCCCTGATGTGATGGCGCAAACACCGATGGCGGTGGGTAAACTGGGGCAGCTTAAGGGGGGACAGGGCTCTGAGCGTCCTGGTCCCTTGGAGGAGAACGCTGAATGGCAATAAAAAGGAAATGAAAGATGGTAAGTTTTGAGCTTGGAAAATAATTATAGGAAGATGTTTTTTTGTCTAGTCTAAAAGGAAATGGTTTCTACAAACTAGATTTTACTGTCAAAATACTGGATAATAAACAGCTCATTGAAAACCAAATCGCAATAAGCTTAGCGTCTATAGTAGTAATATGGTAGACTATCCTGTGCATGAAAAATCGCACTCGGAAATACTTCGTTAACTTGACAAGATTTGTAGATTAGCGAAGCTGTGTTTCTTTAATTTCATGAAGTAACATAAAGGAATATTCTATAAACAAAGTCACCACAGACAAAGCAGGTTTCATTCAGCAACATGCTATAAAATTCGGTCAAATTGACACTTGCATGACCCATACCCGTGTAGACGAAAAGGTTGGAGATTTGTCAGCTGCCTCACTTACACGAGACAACTCTCCCTCTGACAGTGTGGGTGATAGGGGACCACTTTCCAAACTCCTGTTAGGAGATCGCAGAGCATCGTTCTTATGAGGAGAGCTTGTCTTGTTCTCTGGACTCTCGAATGTCTCTGAATACACAGGCTCGTCTGTCTTTCTGTTGGGGCTCGGGGTGCGCTGCGCGTGAGGGGAAAAAAGGTCAATCAGTCACCTTAGAATTGTTGACTTGCAGAAAAAAGATAAAGCTCCAGTTAGCTGAATTACTAACTAGAATGACTATCCTTAAATCTAGACTATATGACAAGCAACGGTTTGACAGCTGATTAACCAGTGGTATATACAGCATCTTTTGATAGGGAACTAAGAAGAGTTATAAACAAATAAACAAATACATCATGCCCTTCTGTATATCAAAACGTTTAAGATCACGATACATTTTAAAGAAAGCACTCAAAGCCAAGCCTCAAAACAATTCTGACAAATGATTGAGTCCACATTAACCCTTTTACTCCTTAAAAGTGACCAGCATCTAATTTCTCCTTACAACATCACCCCTGAATCACACATTAATGTCACGAGTATAGAGGAAATGATCACCGATTAAGGAGGCTGTCTATCGTTAGTTAAACTAATCCTCCTTGTCAGCTTCTTAGGAATATGTTTCTTAGGAAATTTCTTAAGAACAGAATGGGGAATATGCAAATTGAGGGCTGAGACCCAAACATCACACAGTTCAAACAACTCAGGTTCCCCCAACAGGAAAATGATACAATATTATACACATTTATTATATGGCTGTGTCTCACAAGGACTGGGAAATACCGAGTTCATGAATTTGATTGGCTGGAATCAACATTGAAAGTGGTCTAGATTTTCCCATCTAGACAGGCATCTAGACCAGTCTAGAAAAAAAAAAAGGTACAAAGAATATAACAAATTGGCATAATTATAAGACACAGCCATATAATAAACATCTTATTAACCCATACAGACCTCCCACTCAGTTACTAAGAACTAAATAATACCTTTTCACTTCCTCCCTTTGTGCTGTCACCCAAGGACCCAGTAAAGTCATCATCGTCATAATCATCAAGAGCACGACTCTTATCAGGGGATTCCTCCACCAGTGTCTGTTCCAACAGGTCTCCAGACTGATTTTGGTCTGCAGGAGGCTCAAGCAGACTAGCTGTCTCCCTAACCTTGTCATCTGTTAGTGTCTCTTCAAGAAGACTTTGTGTTTCAGATCCATGCTCCCTTAGACTTTCATCTATGAAAAAAAGAAATATTTCTGATTCAGTCACCAAGTAGAGCTGACAGTAAGAGCCGGTTGATGAACACAATCGGTGGCTAGTCTGTTATTCAGCTGTCTATGGAAGCGCTGATAAAAAATCTGGTTAATAAAATGTATAATTTACCAGTTACAGCTTTAGATGTGTGAATCGTTTTAAACTTCAGAATTTCCTCCGGGTTTCCTGCGCACACCGAGGAACACCTGGGGCATTTTAACTGTTAAGTTCATGACAGACTGGGTTCCTGCTATTTCTTAGTTGCCTTTTGTTTTCAAACCTACAGACAGTCAAAATCAAGCCAAGTCGAAATAAAACCAGGCCTACACCTCCGTAACTCAACAAGTAAGAGAATTTTGAGAAACTAAGAGTGTTGCTAATACCCTTTGGGGGATGCTTCTTCCTTGCAGTCCCCCATCCCCTAAATTTATCAGGTTTTCCCAAAAATTTGCAATGTTGGAGGGAAGGCCATGGTGAGTTAAACTTTGACCACACAACATAAAATGGTCGTGACCTGCTCTCACATACAGACTGTTGTTTTATCTAAAAGTCTCCTGCACCACTGTACCTGCACTGTATCAACCGTGCATATGTATTCCCTGACAAATGATGTTTCCACATGACATTTTATCTTTGCTAGAGTCACAATACTGCATGTACAAACTAACAATACTCTTACCTTCTTTAGGAAGCAATTTCAAGTGGGGATTTCTTCTGGTAAAAATATTGATGACACTTAAGCTAAAACCATAAAGAGATTAGACATCAATAGGAGGTGTCAAATCAAGGAGAATTACCATGATTCAAACACAGGGGGTAGGGCAAACTGTTAAGATTTCTTTTTACTCGAGGAACATTGAAAACAAAGCAGACAAAGGCATGACAACAAAAAGAAGTGGCTCAGAGGCCAAATGGCACATAACACCCCTTTTTTTAAAATTTGGATTCTGTCGTATCACCTGAGTGGGAATAAGTGTACTAGGCCTTCGCAGGGAGCTCGACTATTAACCTCACACAGGAGCAGAAATAATCAAACCAAAAGATGACTAAATAAAGGCATAGAATGAACTGCTACAAAGTACATTGCTCATCTGGTACATACCTGTCACCGCCTTTGCTTTTCCATGGAGGTGTGGCTGATTTCTTTTTCCCTTTTGTCTCCCTCTGCCCGTGTCCTAAACAACAGAGAAGAAAATATATCCATCTCACTATCAGAGTCAAATAACACAGGGGTTTCAATAACTTTTTCCATAGGCAGTTACCAACAGTGTTAAAGGTGGCCATGTTCAGAAAAGGGGCTGTAGGGTGCAACCAGCTGGGCTAAACAGACAGCAGAAAGATGAATACAATAGAAGAAGAACAATACAACAAGAACAAGAATGCAATATTTCTCATTATTAAAAACTGGATCATTGGATAATTCAATTCAAGACTTTTTAATGGGTTAGCCATTATGGTATATGAGCCAATATACCATAATCTAATATCTGTACATTGTAACATCCGGTTTCTTCTTACAAAAAAAAGGTGAGAACATTTGTCTACTATCTTGGGGACGCTTTTTGTTTTGTTTTTGTTTTTTTAATAAAACAATTATTCCACTCGCACTTGTTGGATGTGAGACGATTATAGCCAACTCGGGGCTATGCACCTCATTGGCTGTTTATCATCTCATATCCAACGCGCGCTCGTGGAATAATTGTTAATTAGTGCATGTGTTGTTCAATTTTCTACACCACCATAAGGGTACAGATGGGGTGTTTTTTGAGCAACACAATACCTGTTGTATGCTTTCTTCGTTGTGATTCGTGTATTGGTGAGCTTTTAACACTTGATGATCTATCTTCCTGAAGGATGAAAAAGAAAAGTGTCATCTCTTCAACAACAAGAAAGTCAAAAGACATTTGAAAACCGTGAAAACAATACAGTTTATTTTCTTAGGCATAGAGATGTTTGGGGCCCTTTTGATAGTCAATTTACTCCTCGCCTAGTGGCTTGGGCTAAATTGACTCTGAGTCAGGGCACCAAAACATATTTATGCCCAAGAACACAAACTCTATTGTTTTATGGTATGTACATGCAGTAATATCAAGCATGTGTGCTATTAACGTTTAGCAGTGATTCACTTATGAGTATGGTTAATTATGTTTATAGTTTTTGATGATGTGAAAAAAAAAAAAAAAATGGATCAGCAGCTGATAACCTTAAAATGACTAACTTTCAAATGTGTAAAATTTATCTCATTCATATAATATTCACAATTAATAAAAATCAGCATAGCCTAGAGAAAACTCCTTCTTGATCTGCAAGAGAGTCCACTCCAGTTGAAGCATTAGGGTAAAAATATCAAGATAATAGCATAAACTTGGGGCAAAATTTTTTTTTCCTATTTGTCTTCAGAAAAGAAAGTGGAACCTTGACCGTTCTTCTATATTGCCAATTTTGTTGAACATCATACCTTCAGGGATTTTGAGCTTTGAGTTGGTGATTTCACCATGGATCTTGCTGAGCTGTAGGAGGCACTGATGTCTGATATGACACTCTTGTCCTCATTAGGAACAACAGTGTCCCAGGCTGTGGAGTAATGAGAGGACTCTGATGTCCCAGCAACTGAATTTCCTGGTCTCTGATGTAGCCCTTGCCTGACAGTCGACCTCAGGGTGCGTCCAGAGGGAAGTTTCCAGTTGAGACCTTGACGGACACTGTGGCCTCTAAAGGCTGCTTGGATTGTTGTTGCAGCATTTGTCCTGGAATGCTATTAATATTTAGAGAGGTGCAGATGTTAGAGGATGCTAGCAAGGAAGTATTCAGTAAATGCAGACCAACATCAACTCTGAATCAATTAATGTTTATTATCCTGATATACAGCAATAAGAAGCTTTTACTATTTACCAATTCATCAGAAAGTTAACTATCTTTGAACACTATAAAGTACACAGTCAAGGTTGTAGCTAAGGAATTAGGCTGCTGGCTAAAATTTCAAGTGAGGCAGCTCAAAGATGACATTTGTACAAAACAGCAGCTGGTGTTTAGTGGCAACCCTGCACAAGGTAAGTTATTTGTGGATAAAGAGGTTCTTGGTTTCAATTCTTTTCAAATTAAGTGCATTTTTATCTCTCGTTGTGTTACATGTAAATTCATTATCAAATCTTGAAACAAAGTGAAATAAAAGTAAATATGCAAAAAAAAATATATGGAACACATCACAAGGCTGTGCTTGAAGAAAAATTGAAGGGAGCCCAGTGCTCTGAAACTGTGAAATCCAGGGTGCCCAGCATATGCATTTTATGAAAAAACTAAGATTCCTGAGAAGCCCAAGAGCAAAAGTAAAGCACCAGGGGCCACTGAGTGCTGCTAGACCACAGCCCTGCAACACAATCATTATCAGTTTATAAAGTCAATTATTACCCAACTGCACAGAGTAGAGTACAAACAACTTGCATATAGAGTACAAATATCCTGTGATATGGTACAGTTGGTTTGTGTTGTACTGTAAAAAAAGCCTGTTTAACTGGTTGGTTGTGCATGCTATGCCTCTCTATCCGCTTTGCAGAAACACTTGGCAGAAAAAAAGCAGTTGAATAATATATAACTTATCAGAGGTTTGATGTGTAGTATTGCTTTGTATTTTTACTCATTGTTTCTATTTTGACTTGCCCTACAAGTTTGTCAAAATATGGCAGAACTCATGTAAAATTACTCAGCAATATTACACACCAAAATGTCTAATAAAATATATATATCCATTCAGTTTGTGTTTCTGGCCAACATCTGTGCCCTACTATTCCTTTCATCCTCAAGCAAGAGAAGGCAAAATAAAACACCCATCTCCATAACAAAGCTATCACCCTCAAAACTCTCTGAAAACATTTACATCATGTTGACAGAAAGCTTTTCATGTAGTACCCAAACTTACTGACAAATTAAATTTTTTGTTAAATTATCTAAATTTACCATTTCAAAATTCAGTTCAGCTTGTTCATGAAGACTTCCCACTCCTCTAATAGAGATGACAAAAGAAATAAATTCATTAGAATAAAAAATGTTGTAACTAAACATATTTTGTACTTGTCAAGGGAAAATTATAAGGAAGTCTGTGTTGTATTCTTTGTGCCAGGTGCCCACAAACATACAAGATGCTTCATAAATATACATACCACATAGCATCTATGGCAAACACAAACATATGGTATTCGTGCTGCAAAAATTTGGTTATCAGTTAGTTGCTAACCCTTCAATTCCGAAGATCAGATTGTTAACCCCCCCCCCTCTAACTGGTACACATTTCCTTGCAAATCAGTTGTGAGAATTTGGAGTTACATGTAGATCGAGATGACAACTTCTACTTCTAACAAGTCTGAATATTCTCATTACCTGTTTACTGGATAGCGTACGGATATTTAGGGAATAAGTAAGTAAGTAAGTAAGTAAAACCTTTATTTAGACACGATAAGTATTGAAGCTGTGCAGCTTGTGGGGTCGTGTATAAAATAAAAAGATACAAACAATAGTTGTAATATAGTATAAAATAAGACATGTATAAACATAAGACAATGTTTATATTAATAATTGATAGTATTACCTAACTAATAAAATTAAAGACCTAAAAATACTTCCTTTAGGGAGGAGCTATCTTTTACAGAATAAATTAGAGAAGTCAATGTCCCTGACCAAAGGAAGCTTCTTAATTATCCTGGAGAAACTTTTGACACTATGCGCGTTACGGCACTCGATTGGCAGATAATTCCACACAACTGAACCTCATCTAAAATCACATAAATCACATGTCAATCACTCTTGGCAGCTTAAGGGATAAGACAAACCTGGCAGGGCTCCCCTGAACACAGTGTAATCTCCTGTTGTTGTACAGGTCCCTCGTTCCTCAGCTGTTTCTTCAGATACAGTGGTGTTCAGATTTAGACCAAGTCGTAATGCTTCTGTTGCCAGTCGCTGTTTGAGCTGTGCAGCTGTTTGTTTTATTGCTGCTATTCTATCCTCTCTGGGAGGACTACCTGAAAGCTTTTGCTCCTCCTTTCCTGCTGCAAATTAAGAAGAGGAGTCACTTTAAGTTCAAATCATAAATTCTTTTAAACATTTGTGATTTCTTGTGCAGTGAATAGAAAAGCAAAATGTTTTCCAATGAAAGCCACACCTTTTTTAAGTCTTACTAAACTAAGATGTGTTAGTCAAAATCAATGCCAAACATGACGAGTCTTTGCTAAATGTTTAACTGATGCATAGCTTTCAAAGAAGTTCAGCAGAATCCGGAGGATAGTGCTATCATGGGTAGCAAAGTTTATCACTATTGTTTGTGAGGGGAACATCACAGCATTAACAACATTTTCAGCAGGACAAAAGCCTGCACCCAGCTTGAGGCTCCTGAATTCAATAGAGAGATCAAACCATCTAATGAAGTCCAAAAGTTAATCATAAACAGAAGAGAAGAACAGATACATGTTAAGACTATGTACTTATCGACTGAGTGGGAGGGCCGCATGGGAAAATATTTGGCGTCAAGGTCAAATGAGGGCCAAGGGAAGCTAGGTCCCTGCTTCATAACCAGGAGCCAAACAATTATTTCCTCTCAAGCCCAACTAAACTAGGTCAATAAGCCATTGATCATATGACCACTGAAAGTTGAAAAATTCAAAAATTGTGTCAACCTAGATGGGAAGTATTTGCACATAAAATAAGCGTGAGGGTGTGCACTGGACAACTTTTGAAGGCCCCACTGAAACTGTCTCATTATCAAGTACTAAAAAGATTCTAGTGCAAAAACCTTTCTTTTTTTTCTAGAGTCAGAACCACAACAAGATTCATAATTGTTGTATTTTGGGTTGAAGTCCACAATTTCTATCCAATTTCTTGGAAAAGCCATGGGAGTAAAGGGCACATGCCTTTTTCCAGACCAGCAGACAATAACCCATCTGGCAGTACACAGCTTTTGTTATGCTTTGCTATGGTAATGTATGTACAGGCCTGTGTGGTCTCATAAAAAAAGTTTAATAACAGACATACCAGATGAAGACACAACCCCTGGTCTGTGTCTGTCAGCTGTCTGATTTGGGCTGGAAGAAGAGCGGGGTTCCAACTCACCTGTGGTCAACAAGTCATCATGTTGTAGGTTTCCTTTATAAAAAGCAAAATTTCATAGATATTGAAAATTTGCTCCAATAGATGGAATTTATGGTGCTAGAAATTGTTTCCCAGCTCTAAAACACTACATGTATAAAATAATGTAATATTCCCACTTCTGGTCAAAGGGTGACTCCAGCTTTGAACTGGAGACCGTGGGTCTCCTGTTACCTCCTACTTCACCTGTTGTTTCAGTTTTTGAAATTCAGTACAACATGGACATTCAATCAAGTTTTTGCTGACTCTCAGGTGTTTATGTTTTGTTTACTGTGAATCTGCAAGTAATTGAAGGAGAAATAGTTGAAGGTTCTACAAATGACAAAACATGCATTTTCGCATACCTCGAGGGAGGCCAACATAATCAGATGGTCTCAAACCAATGGTCTTTGTTCCAATGGAGACACCAGAAACACCTGGCACTGGACTCTTCCTCTCTCTGTCAGGTTCTGGAGAAATGGAGCCATCTTCACTCAAAACAGACGATGAGCTAGATAAGCTGTGGTGCTCTCTACCGTTCATCCTAAGTGTCTCACTGGATGCGGAATAATTTGGTAGACCTTTGAAGGAGGCGATGTCGAGATTCTCTGAAACATGAAATTAGCAACAGCCTTCAACCCTACAAATATTTGTCCAAAAACACTTCTCAGGCCTCAGGCCATATAGATTAAAAGGGTTGGGCCAAAATTACTAAAATAAAATTATCATTTCATTGAAAAGATACTTCTTTTGTTATGTACCTTTATCTGACTCACTGACTTCGGTATCTTCACCGTAACACTAACAGGGAAGGAAAACACAAGGTTATAATGTAAGTAACTTCAGGTCAGGCCTCCTAAGACACACTGGGCTTCAAGGAAACAGCACAGGATGATTATAAATAACTTTGAGAAGAAACTATTCTAATTTTACTCTGATACTACCCTGATGATATCTTATCAAATTAGCCTCCAGTACAGCCTCAACAAGACAGTAAATAGTAATCATACAGTAAAACTTGCAGAAAGGTATATTTTCATTCCTTGAACACCAAAAGGTAAAAAGGAAAAATACAAGACAGTTTTTCAACATAAAATATTTATTTTGATAAACTGCCGGTGGGCAGCATTTGACCATCAATCAGCAGTATGGAACTATTCAACAAATTCTTATCTTTAGATGAAGTTCCATGGCACTCTTACCAACATGCATACTGTACTTAAAAGAATATCTACAACTTTGTGTTACAAAGTAACTTGCATGTACATGCAGGCCTTGGGCAACTTTTCTCAGTCAAGAAGAGCTATTTACCTCTACTTCATCTTGTTGGAAAGGGTGGTTGTAAGGATATATAATAGATCTGAAATCACTGCGGCCTTTTGAATATGTCTCCCCAAGAGATTTCTTGTCTTTACGATGAAGGTTGTTTCCAAGATTTTTTTTCTGTCTACTGTACAGTTCCTGTAGAGAGAAGCATCAACCCATGAGGGTTTGCCTTGGGTAAAACTCAAGAAAATCATATAACTTAGCAGTTAAAAAGTTAGTATTCAAAACAATGATAATAATGATAGTAATGATAAAGAGGAACTTACAAAAATGTACACAGGATAACAATGACATAAAAAACACAATCACATCATATGACCATGAACTCAAATAAACTACAGTAACCATAATTAGTCTTAAGTTGATTAATGGCCTAGTGTACCTCAAGCTTCTTCTTTTTTTCTTCCACAGCCCTTTGTTTCATTAGCCTGTCTTCTTTCAACTTTTTCTTTCTTTCAGCCATTTGTTTAGCCATGTATTTCTGCTCAAAAGAAAACAATTCACATTACTCCACAATCATGTATAAAATCAGGAATTCAGTATAAAATCAGCCAAAAAATTAAAACATCTTGCAAAAATTTTATGACAGCAATCAAACCACAATGAAATGAATAACACATGATTTACTAAACGTGCCCATCACAAGTTTGAAATAAACCCTCCAAAGTAAAGAGAAATGAGAAACTCATTAAAGGGAGCAAGAACATCCAAAACATTCCTTTTTCTCCAGAACAGATTACTTATCCCAACCTTAACTTCATCAGTGTCATAGTGTCTCTGCTTTTGTACAGGATAGCTTGGCTGTTGTGAAGCTAGAAAATATATGATAATAATAAATATTATTATTTGATACTATTAATATTATTATTATTATTATTATTTATGCCACGTAACTCTTTCTACTACTTCTATTACAAATAAATAACTATAATTATAATTATCATCATAGTTTTAATTAGTATCATTGTCATTATCATTATTGTTGATTGGTAATAAATGGTCACAAAATCATCAATGATGAAATTATTCAAATGACTTAAATCAAAATTGAGCAAAACAGAAAATACACATATTACAAATCAGAAGGCCTCAATTTCACAGAATCCAACATAATCAGACAATGTCACCATGTCAATATCAAATAGCAAAATTTTCATCCTCGAGCATTACATGTACATCATAACCAGAATTTTCTTACTTTTTTCTTGAAGTAAGTTATCAAAAAAGTTATAAAAAACACCATAAAAAAATTACTTGCTCCAAACCTTGTGGCTTTGCACTGAATGGTCTCTTTCTCCGAGTTCCCTTTGATGACTGCTTCACTTTAATTTCTTTGGGTTTTGACTTGGGAATAACTTTTTCACCTTCTTCCTTATCTGAAGAAGCAAAGGAATCAGTTAGACAATAAAAACATCCAGTGTTAATGACTTTTTATTACATCTCTCAATTAGAAGGTACCCTAAGATTAGTCTATTGAAAGCGCTCTATTTCACAGTATAGCCTGCTAAATTCAAAAGTTTGTTCAAAGTTTTCCCTCTCTATTCAAACACAAAGGTATAATGAAATCTTCCTAAACTAATTTTCAGTGTCTGTATCATAAGTCAATGAATCCATTTATCCACCCCATTTATGGCCCACCCACCTTGCCCAAAGGCCATAAATCCAAGTGGAAGAAAGTTAGTCTGTAAGTTTTAGTACAGACCTCAAACTCTGTAAGTAAAAAGTTTATTTCACTTAATCCTACAACTGACATCTATCACTGAACTTATTATCCAACTACACCTAGACGAGTACAAATAACGCCATAGACGAGTACAAATATCACGCGGTATTTGTACTCATCTATTGTAGAGTACCGGTTAAACAGGTTTTCTCGCATCGTGCAAGCAAAGAATTGGATTGTAGTTATGAAAAAAAGAAACAAATGGCGGACAATTTGAATCATATTTCCGGCGACTAAGAGTCAGAATGGTTGGCAAACATAGATCCAAGTTCATTAGATGAATCAAACGAAGAAAAACAGCTTGACAACCAGAAAATTTCTTTATTTATTGAAGAAAATAGAAACAGCAACACAACAACGCGCCAATTCCAAACTGCTTTGCACACTTCTGTAACGCACTCCCTGTAAATAAATATCCGCGAAATTCGCCCACACTGAAATAAGAGTTTGGCGTGTTGGATAATAAATAACTTATTAGACGTTTTGTTGTGTAGTATCGCTGAGTATTTTTACTCGTTATTTGTATTTTGACTCGCCCTATGGGCTCGTCAAAATACGGCACAACTCGTAAAATACTCAGCGATACTACACAACAAAATGTCTAAAAAGATATATATATTATCTCTATATCATCTCATTAAAACAAACCCTTACCTAAACACTTACCAGAATTATTGTCAGTGTCAAGTTCTAAGTCAGACAGAATATTTTTTGCTTCTGTGGATAAAACTCTGTTCTCTCTTAAATCTTTCATATCCTCGTCGGGGCCAACTGCTTTAAATTCCATGGAAGCAACTGAAGAATTTAGGGACAGTTCAGAATCTGTTGATAGTAGGAAAAATTACAGGTTAAATCACTATTGATAGTAATTGGTTTAAATCTGATGATTGCTGTTCAGGTGAAAATTATTTGCAATTCATTAGAAAGAATGTGAAATAAAGAAACATCAACCTTTTCTGTATCTTTGTAATTGTACCAAAGTACAACAACTGCCTATTTTTTTTTTTAATTCAGTCAACTCTCATGAGGGACTAATATAAAATTTCTTATCACAGTGTTAAAATATCAATCAAACCAGTGGATAAAGAAAAATATCACTAAGGGGATAAAAAGTTGATCCAACACTGAATTCTCCAAACTAACATCATAAGAATTGTATGGCAGACAGTAATGAGAATTACTAATGAGATCTAGGGAGTGAAAGGATTTAAGGTGTTCTAGGTAAGAATTATCTCACCTGAGTCCTTCTTCCCTCCATTCATCACTTGTTCTTCACCAACTGGAGATGCTCCTCTGGAAATATCACTTTTTTCACTTCCATTCCCTTCCCGTGAATCCCCATTCATGTAACCACCTGCCCTTTTATTGCCAGCATCATTTTTCCACTGAAAATTGAGACTCTTGGGTTCTGATATGTCTGTATCCTGGCTACTGCTTGAGTGGGGTCGACTGATGGCAGACGTTTTTGCCTTCTTGGTTGCTGGACCCAATATCCTTTTAACAGTTTGTTGGCCAGTGCGCCATGATGATGTTGTTATAGTGTCTGTTGGGCGGCGAGGAGCAATAACTCGTTGTACCTTGGGAGGTCCTGGAAGAAAGTTTTCATATTAGTCATGTATCACTTCAAGGCATAACCCTTTAATTCCTAAGCACCTAATTTCTTCTTGGAGGAATACTCGTGAATCAATCATTAACATCAAAAGAAAAAAGGACATTATTGCTAACCTAGCAAGCTTGAATGTTGACATACTAAGTATGTCCTGTATTAGATTACTTATATGCTCTCAATACATCTGAAAACATAGTAATTGTAAGAATACTTCTGCACATTGTAAAAACAATCAAAAAGCAAACAATTTAACTGATGAGGGTCTGGTAGAGGTCTAGTACACTAGGTGTCAGATACATAAGGAAATAACAGACAAAACATATTTTTCTCATCAAGCACCAAATTTCACCCACAAAGGGGTGAAAAAATGGCTTGTGGTGAAAGTGTTAAAAGACCTCTACTTTTCCATCGTGGCAGCAAGGATTCAGTCTAATATAGATATCCTCAATTGCTCCAGTCTCACCAATACAAACATGCCCAAAACTGTCCCTCAAAATAATTTGTGGACATGTTTCATTTTATTGTTGTTGTTGCAATATAATTTTATGTAAACAGGACAACTTGCCTTTTTGTTGCAATGGCTTTTGAGGCCTTTGGTTGCCAGTTCTTGTATTGTCAACTGTAGAGCTCTTTGTTTTGACCTTTCTGTTAACTTCAGATAACACTGTTGGTTTTGATTCTACCTCACTGAAACCTAATAAAGGAATTTTTGTAAATTATGATGCAACATTTCAAGTCAGTATGTTATATCACTTGGGTCAATTATCATAGAGGAATAGCTTGACATAAAGCATTGAGCGGCTAGTTTGATGGAAAATGTTGAGCTAAACTTGAGAAATGGTAGGCGTGCAGCATGCAACCATTGAGTTATGGATGCACGCTGGAGGTTGCTAAGCACAAAAGAAGCGCAAGAGTTTCAGTTGTAAGAGACAATAGCTGAGTGTGACTCTAGCTTCTTAAGTGCTTAGCAAATCTCCCAAATGTATCTATAACTCGATGGTGGCACGCTGCACACTGACCATTTCTTTTATAACATTAAGACAATCAAACGTCTTTCATTTCAAGTGGGAATAAAAAAAAAAGGAAAACAAATTGATGTCTGCATGCAAGCCACAAGCAAATGGATTGAGCATATTACAAAGTATCTTGTAATACAATGTACAAGGACTGAAGTTATCACTACAGCGGGTTACCTTTATAGGCAGGTGCTGCGGGGGCAGAGGCTACTTTTCTCTTGGAAATTGCAGGTCTTACTGGAACATCCAAATCACTTCTACATGGTTCCTCTACTGCAACCTCCACAGACAAGTCCTCTGTGCTACGGGGAGAAGGATTTGCAGAGCTCATCCCTGTTTAAAAAACAAAGGTATAATCAACAAAAGTAAGAACATCTAATTACAAATTTTAAAGTTCTTACCAAAAAAGAATAGTTGATGGTTATTTCAATGATGCATTTTGTCACAGCCTACTGGCCTTCTAGAATTTTGAAGGAGTCACAAATTACATTAAACAGTAAAAATTTCTCAAGTATTTGCGAAAAGTACAGTTTAAGGCTAGCCTGATGTAGCAGTTCATCTTAGCCCAAAGCCTCTTCAAAGATCTTTCAGATAAAGTTGTCAACTCGTGAAGCATTCTGCTCAAAATCCCATTCACATATCAAGATCTTAGCAGTCTAACCTTATATGGTGGAACAATTCCTCATCAAATATTTATGACAACTCACAATTTTAGAATTGTGGCTAAGTATGACTGTATTTTCATAGTTCATAATTTATGTTTCTTGAAAAAAGCAGAGTATATCAGCATAAGTTTTAAGGAATAGAAATTTGGACAAAGTGCCACGGCTCGACACTAACTTTTCAACTTACTCACCAAGTGGCTAGTGACATCTTAGATGTTATGACAATTTCAGTTTGTTTACTAGCAAAACTGGCTTGTGGAAATCGAAATCCACAAACTAAACCTGAATTTCTACTAGTTTGTGGCTAGTTGGCTACCATTAGTGTCGAGCCCTGAGTGCTCTTCAGAGATTTTTAAAGTAGATGGCCATTCAAGGACGGTAGCTGCCCCAGTAATATAAAAATTGTTCGCTTATCACCTTTGGGTAAAATTAGACATTTTCTTCACCTGTGACAGAATCAGTTGGACCAAGCCTGAAGGCTTGTTCTTTCTGTAGTTTAATTCTTTCTTTCAACCTTGCAAGTGCATCTGTAATCAGAAGTAAATAGAGATACTCTTCAAGGTCCCTTTTCATACAAATATAGCCCTATAATTATAATTTATTCATTACTAGTGTGTATCTTTATAATAACTATGATCAGATGTGCATTCCTAAAGTATATATTATATAAAAAAGAATTTAAAAAACTTAAGTATATATTATATAAAAAGAGAAAATCTCTAGTAAGTAATTATTATGCAAGACTAAAAAGATAGGTCCTTAGATAAGTTTTAAAACTAGTAACACATGTGATTTCAAAGCTCACTCGCACCTTATAGCAGCAGAAGACTTTATTGCAAACTTTTACTTTTACCCTGAAATTAACACTTTAACTTCTGAGATCTGATTGTTAATTCTCCCCTCTTGCTGCTACACATTTCTTTCTAAAGCAGTTATGAGAATTTGGTATTGGTTCAAGATGAAAATTTATAATTGAAAAGACTGAGTATTCTCACTACCTCTTTGCTAGATAATGTAAGAATGTTATAAGGAGAGGTTACATGTTCATCATTTATGGGAGTTGAAGGGATAATTCCACAGTAGCAACCAATTGCAGTTCTTTTGAGGACAGTCCTTAACTCAGAAAGCTACACAACAAATGCACAAATTAACTCTCTTCTAGTTTAAATGTAGGACCAGAAAAAAAATTGATAGAAAGAAACATAGAATACCGGAATTATTAGCTATTACAGGTCTGAGCCCAAGCGAGGATGTTGGACGAGTTTCACTCATGGATGTTCTAGCTGTACTGCTAACTTCCAATGAGTCATCAAAGCTAGAAGAAGAAGGGATGGTTGAAAGACCTTGAAATCTGACCGGCGATCTACGACTTGGTTGCTCATTTGTCCTATAGATTGATGAGTAAGCTGTTGTCAAAACAGGATCCAGACCCTCAGTTACAGCTGGGTATGTAGGAAAGATAGCAGGTGGATTTCTTGGGGTGGTACTGCTTCGGAGCTCAGTAGAGAGACTATCCCTTGATGGAGGAGATAACAAAGAGGTGGGTGCAGGTGCTCTGATTGTAGACTCCTGTTTGTTCCCATTCTATAGATCAGCCAAAGTAGGAAAAAAAATAAAAGGCCTCAAACAATTGATACATGTGCATAGCATGAAAACTTTACAGGAAATTCATTTAGCAGATTGGCAATTCTTTATGTTTTGTGAGAGCAAATTTTTGTGATTGATTGAGTGATGTTGGTAACTACTTTTTTATTTTATTTTCATGCAGCAGAAAGAAAGCAGTGAAAAAGAGTATTTTCTCATTTTCTAACTTAATGAGTAAAACAGAGAGGAGCTGGTTAGTCAATGAATTGTAGAGATTTATCAGCTAACTAATTTTGCCAGCTGATGACATTTAGCAACAGCTGTGTAAATCTAATAAGAACTTGAACTACGAGTGATAACATAACATGCAAGACGTTGGGCTTTACAAGACACTGTATCAATCAATTGGTCAATCGCCATGGCCAGACCCAAAATATCATGAATCCAAACTTTCCTTACCAATGAAAACTCGGATGATCTTCTCACAGGTGAGTTAGCACGATCTTCTCCCAAAACATTTGCAGATCGTGCACCTTGTCCATATCGACCTGGTCGCAGTTCATATCTGGACACCCGTCCATATCTCTGTGTCTCAGAGAATATTTCTTGTAAGGGTTCATCATTATCCTCCACTCCAGAACCAAGACCTGCATTTGCTTCATTTATCCTTGCTTCAGCAGCTTGGAGCTGTATGAAACAATTGAGATCTTCATAAACATTAAAAATGCACAGTCACTGTTTATTATCCAACTGCACTATGTAGAGTACAAATAACACAGAGCTCTGGACATAAAAAAAAACATATCAGACATTTTGGTGAGTAGTATTATGTGTAGCTTTATCAAAATATTTGCACAACTCGAAAGACCACACTTAGAGATACTAGAGCGCACTATGATATCTACAGCTCTTTCCAAATATTGGCTAGAAATGCAGAACCCCAATAATCTACGTATGTGATCATCAAAATACTAAACTACAATATCAGTCAATGGAAATGTAACAAACAAAATGCTGTACAAAAAAACTCTGTAACACAACATGACTCCTATACTTCTAAGTGAAGTCCTACAAGCTATGTAACATTTGAAAGTTCAATAACCTGGCTGATGTTCGCTCGTTCAAGGAGACTTTATCAATTCAAATCAACATATCAATTGGAAAGTGAATCAAATGACTCGAAGCGTCAATAACACGTAAACGTTTTTTTACGAATGCAGGCCCTCCAAAATATTTCATATTTTTAATTTAATGTCCAAAGAAGAAGCAAATCAAAAGCTCGATCATTAACGATCACCTAGCAGCCCACCTGTTACAATGGAACCAGACATAAATGTACGTGATCGAATTTCACTTACCGCAGACTTCACTTCCCCGACGTTTTCCCATGCTGCTGCCAGGTCTGCAAAATTATAATTTAAATAATACTCACTTTTTCGAGTACCTAATGATAAATGAGGTTTTTAAAAAGCGTAGCAGAGCACACTCCAACTCTGTTTGGCACAGGTTTTAAAAACATATCATGAATCAACACAAAACAAGGCGATTGATCACACGAACCTTGCAAAATTAGTTAAGCGAAACCAAAGAGCAACGGTCACAACTAACATTTTTTTCTCACTTCCTTAATTTACCATTTCTTCAAAAACACTACCTGAGAAAGAAGTGTGGTACTTTCCATCTCTCGGTAAAGGGCCACGCTGAACCGGGACGGGATCTACGATGCGTCGACCACGAAACAGCGTCGACGAAGCCATCAAAAAACTTTCGCTTTCGTCATCGGGAGAGCATCAGACAAAGACAAAAAAACTTCCGCCATATTCTGTTAGCGCTCAGGAAACTTTGGATGGTCCGTATTTCGACTGATGCTTCTCCTGTTAATTATCCTCAAGAATTCCTATATGTTTTTGAATGAAAAACACTTTGAAATCATAGATCTATTTCAGGCAAATGACCCAACTACAGCCCGCCATTTTTTGTTTTCAGGGCAAAGCAGTGTGGGAAATCAGCAGCGCTTGGTGTCTCATGGGAATTATCATCTCGGCAGTAGATGTGGCGGGGGACGGGAGCCTACGTGCAACAACGTGTAGCCGTACCCTCTCCCCCAAGGAGAAATGGAAGATAGCAGAGAAAGGTACAGCTACACGTAAGCTTGTAACGGGAAGGAGCATATTTTTTGCCTCAGAGAACACTTCCTCTCTCAATGCAAGTAATGTCAGGCACGGAGAGTGCCAAGATGACATATGAAGCAGACAGTCATAAATTATTATTCATAAATATATTTGATAAGTGAGGTGGCCATTACATCTATAGAATGAGGTGCCATTGCTAACGGTTTTATAATAACTTAGATTCGACAAAACATTCCAAAATCCTCCAATCGGTAGGGGCGAGGTTATTAAAAAATTTACCATATGTCTTTAAAGGGGCATAGGTACGAGGAAGGGGGGAATTAATTTAGCCTTTTTTTTTTCTTTTTAAGAAGGTCGCAAGTATACGCAACAGAATTTTTCTTGCATCGTACTCGCTTGACTCTACTAACCTGTCATACTCAACAATCAGGACATCTTTTCACGCACTCGCGCTTGTATGGTATTTCGAATAAATATAAATGTATATAATTATTGGGAGGGGTACGAATTGACCACGGTACCGGTTCGAACCGACTCAAGTAGGTACGAACCGACTGTAACTGATCGTATCATGTCTACATTTTCAGGTTTACATTTTCAACAAAGTTTCTAGAATGGGGTTTTTGGGTGTGCGAAAAATTGTGGTAAGTAAGGACCTAAAAATGGAGGGTTCTTAAAGTGACTAGGATGGGGTCTACTTTTTGGCCACGATTCCCAGAATACACTCTAATGGAGAAGAAGCGGCACCTAACCAGCGAGTACCCCTGTCCTTTCCCCACCTCCGCTCGGCAAACAACCCGCTGGTTAGAATATGATTGGTCTGTCCCTATTGGATGTGGCACTTTGTGCGGATCAATATTAGCTGAGTTGGTTGAACCTGGTGGCGATCTTCCCTGGAATATTTTGTTTTTGCACTTTACTTCACCACATTACGTTCATTGACTTTAGGAATTTTTTTTTCCAACAATATAGTTTTATCCAAACATTTTTCTCGGGAATCGTTCATAAAGTTTGATTGATGATAAAGAAAGCAGGGCTTTCTTTGGGTGAGCCCACTTTCGGAGGAAAAAGTAAGGAAGAAGGAAAAAGCGTCGTTTTAGAAATATCAATTATTTGCGTCGGGCAGGAAATTTTAAAAGAGCATTGACGCGAAACATCGCGAGAGAACTGGGTCGAGTGGATAGTCAAATTTCGAAATCCAAAAGTAGATAAACAGACAATCTTAGCAAGATTACACATGTGATCATGAAAAGTAAGGTGAAGGCAATTTCACGTGTATGATGTCTTCTAAACGTGAACAGCGTCTATAATAACAATTGATGTGATGCAAAGCTTTAAAACGTTGTTTTGGTCAAGTCGCAACGGATTAGAAACTGGCGATTAAGTTATTACTGGTTCAGTCCGACGAACCCGCAACTCGCTTTCAACAATAGACTTCGTTGTGCTATTGCGAACAGCCATTGGCAACCAATCCTTATTTAAGGAATTTTTGGTTTTATTGGATCAAGGAAAATGGCAGTGCAAGCATCGTGTATGGAGCTTGCATTGGAAGGTGAAAGACTTTGCAAAGCGGGTGACTGCCGCACAGGAGTAAGTTTCTTCGAAGCAGCGGTCCAAGTCGGGACAGAAGATTTGAAGACGCTAAGTGCGGTATATAGCCAATTAGGGAATGCCTACTTCTATCTACAAGAATACGAGAAAGCCCTGGAATTTCATCGCCATGACTTAACCCTAGCAAGAACACTGGGAGACAGAGTTGGGGAGGCTAAAGCAAGTGGAAATCTTGGGAACACCTTAAAGGTTTTGGGAAAATTTGACGAAGCCATAGTTTGTTGCACTCGACATTTAGATATTTCACGGGAACTCGGTGATAAGGTAAGCTTGCATGATTTGTAATGATTTTTCAGCATCCTAGATAAATATTTCACTTGGGTTTCAGTGTAAGGTTTAAGATGTAGAAAAATTGATTTGCGGGAGCAGTTCAAAGGTGACGGTGAAATTTCTTAATGGTGCAATCAACAACAATGGGGGATTTTAGATCTTTCTTTTGTTCAAGTTGATCAAGCCATTTCTCTTAGTATCCTTTGTTATTGATGTCATTTTTCTTTCGTTTTGATAGCTCTTTAGTGGTATGCGATTTATATAATGCTCGGGAGTGTGCTATTTTTGATTCACTGGGAAGCATTCTTGCGGTCTTCTGGTGGTCAAAATAAACATTGGCTTTCTAAAGTTTACTAATTGTAGTGCGAAAGTGCACACATGCAATCAACCGCTTGTACTCATTGCGGTGGTCGCCGATAATTCTTGCCAGCCACGCAACGGTACTTTACCAAACAGAAATAGCCATTCGAACTTCAATTGAACTTAACGTCAGCTCTGAAAATAAACAGTATTAGTCCGATATATTGTTATATTGAATTTTTTGTTAAACGCAATAGAAGAATACGAAGGCATTATTAAATTAAATATATTCTCTACTTATGCCAGCAGTTGTTCTAATGCAGTTCGAACCATTGATTGAAAGTGATTCGAATAAGGGACAATGTTACCACAGAACACTGAACACTTTTTTTTATTGTTATGGAAAGTATCGTGTTAACGGTAAATTGTGATCCTTGATCCAAAAACCGACGTGTTTCAGACCTCCTTGAGGCAAATACCAGCATGATGTACTTGTATTGTACTCACGAAGTAGGAATATCATCTTTTTTTAAGCACATTTACGCGATCGACGCGAAAATTGCATCCTTAAAAAAATTGATAGTTTTGTATCCCAGCGAGGGCGTAATTCAATGCCTTGTTACGTACTTTTCGAATGAGCAAATTCAAATCCTGTCGGTGTAGATTTCATTTCCTTGATGTGTGTGTATTTCACCAATTAAATCGAACGTAACGACGCTGATCGAAACTTATTTGCTAACAAAGAGATTGACGAAATGTTTTTTTTATTTTTCCGAGTTCTTTGCCTACCAAAAAGATTGATTTAATTTCGTGTATGATTTAGTGACATAGTGGTATTCAAAGCCACTGGTAATATTATTGGTTACCAAACTATGCAAATGTAGATGTCTCTTTTAAAAGTCGTGATAACTTCGGAAGTGTAATATCGCGTGAAATATCCGGTGTAACGTATATTATTTGCACTTAATATTATAGCCTTTCGGTATTGCAGTGCATAATATTTCTTCAGTCAATAACACTGATTTCTATGTTCTGGAAATCTGTAAAGTTCATCCCACATTCTTTTTCTTCTTTATAACATGTTTACTTTGGATAATTGGCACAGAGGCTGTGGATTGCCCTAAATTGAATAACCTGTATGCAACACTTTTTTCTATATCACCCACCCTACTTTGTAATGGATATTTATTAAACATGTTTACATTTTGCAGTTTAACAGGAGTTTTTGTCGAGCAAAAATTTGAAAAAGGAACTCTTTATTGACAAGCCTTGGCAGGCACAATCTTCAAGACAATTTCAACTGTCATACATTTTATTTTAACATTGTTTCCACAAGAATATGCAAACTTTGTAAATATTGTAAATGTGATTTGCATATATGCTTGAACAGGTATTTTTACTCAATTTTTAGCCTTCTTAAAACTCTTAAAATATTGTCCTTGTTGGGAAGGAAATGCGTCAAAGTTTCTAGTACATTCTTACCGACTGGTTACCCTTTTTGTCTGCCGCTTTAAGAATATGGCTGGATAAAATTAAGTATCTAAGTTTTAGCTGATCACTGGAGGGGGAAATCAGTAATTTCATTTTCTCAATAGTGATATTCCAGCTCAGGTACTTAAAGAGCCACATCCTACTTGGTTTTTGATATTGGCGAGTGACATTTTTGAGAACCTTGGAGCCATTTTATAAGATTAAAAGATCATCCATTTTCTTCTTAACATTTAGCTCATACACAAGATCAGGGACCAGTCTTTGAGTGTCTTTGAACATATGTCAAAGAATTTTCCAAGATTTTTATTCTAGATGATGATTTGTATAATTTGGCATTACAAGGCATTAAAAGTAATTTCTACTGGAACTGGCAGTCCACAAGCTCCAGTCTTTTAAAAACTCATTAAAAAGAAGACTAAATAGAGTAGAGTAGAGTAGACATCTTTATTTATACAGGAGAGCCGCTTCAGTGTAGTAAACACTGGTATCAATGGGGGTCCTGTTACCCACCCATCCCACCCCAGGGGAGGACATCCATCACACAGTAATCTCATGCGTGGGAAATTAACGTCTCCTGCCCCTAACCCTGCAGGAGACGGGACCCCCATTTATTTGTTCCTATCCGAGAAGACTAGTCAGAATATCTAACCATTTCTTGATGTTATAGAAAGTTAGCATATTCTTCTCAATAACTTTGCAGCTTGTTGTGGAACTATTATTGTGTTTTGTGAAATTAAGTCGAACACAATTCAAAACTTAAAGAAACCATGATGCAGCAGTATACTGATAAATGCAGCTTATGGAACAGGAACATTTTTCTGGTCTCAGTCAAGCAAAGTCAAATTTGATGGGAGCCTAAAGAGTCACTTTGGTCAACTTGCACTTGCTTCTAGTCAACTGGTCAACACATAAGATAACACCTGTCCTGCAGAGAAGATAAGAATTAATAAGCAATTACAGCTACCTTTTTTAGTATTAATTATGGCATTTAGATGTGAATGTATCCTCTGTTTTGTTTAAAAATGATTGTCATCCTTTGGTGTTATTGAACACTTTGATTGGTTAACTGATTGGCTGGTTTGAGTTATTGCAGAGTAAATTCATTATGTACCACTAGTGATGTAGAGCAGCACTTTAAACAGTGATATTGTAATGTTATAAAGTTAGCCAACTTGTAAAATTGGGTTGTTCCGATGCTGTGGCATACAAGAGTTGCATGGTGTCCCTGAGTAGCATAGTGTTATAAATTCAGGTGTGAAAATCAAGTGAGGCCAGGACATCCAGAGTAAAATAGTGGGAACTATATAAATTAAAAAAAAAAAAGGAAAAAAAAAGATCAGAGATGTAAAAATTGTTATTAGATTCCTCTATGTGAAAGAACAACCCCTAATATGTGATGCACTCCCAACATGTTGCTTTTTAACTCAGTTCCTGGAAGGCACAGGTTCAAATCCTGTCAAGACCTGAATTTTTCTCGCTTAACCCTTTTTACTCCCAGAAGTGATTAACATGTAACCTCTCCCTGTAACACAGCACACAGGTATTGAGAATGCTCAAACTTATCACGTTAAAGTTGATGTCTTGATTTAACACAAAATTCTCCTAACCAATAAACAAGGAATTAAACTTTAAACTTTAATGATAAATACTCCAAAAAAAAGGTTTTTCAGTACCTATTTACAAATATGAATGCTAACTATATCTGACAAGCTATTGTTAAATTCTAAATTCTGTCACTCAATCATTCATTCATGGCAAGTTTCAGGACTTTCTTGAAGGCCTTTACAGATGTAACCTTTCTCAGGTCTTTGTCTAACATGTTCCACAGAGATACTGTTCTATAGGCAAAGGACCTTTGGCCAGTAGCTGATCTGAATAATGGAATGTCAATCTTCTCATTATTACGAGTTATGCGATTATGTACAGAAGATCATTTTTTAAACTTAGCACATAGATATTCAGGAGCTAAATTGTTGACACACTTATAAGCTATAACAGCATCTCTGAATTTGAGTATTTTGTCAACTGGAAGCCAGTTGAGTTCATCCAGTAATGGCGTTACATGGTCAAATTTCCAAGCGCCACAGATGACTTGCAGGCAAAATTCTGGATGAGTTACAGCTTTTGTATGTTCTTAGTTGAGGTATTAGACCACACGGACGAACAGTAGAACATTTTGCTAATTGTGTAGCAGCTAGAGGGGAGAATTAGTTACAAGATCTTGGGATGTAAAGGGTTTACTGTATTTATTTGTCTATAAACCGAGTGATTTTCTTACAAAACTTTTAGCAAAATCTCAAAAATTTGAGCTGGAGAAGGGTCCTTGGCTTATAGCCAAATGTTTTTCCAAACAAAATTTTTCCAAAACAGCGAATTCAAAGGAAACATAGATTTATTTGTCTATAAGCTGAGATACTGCATGCAGAAATGAATAACAAAGCAAGTTGAAGTTGGTCATTGACTTTGATTTATGTGGTGGCTCCTAAAGCTTCCCGATTAAAACAGATCCAACGTTAGGGTCTTGGCTTAAAGCTGAGTTTGGCCTATAGATGAATAAATACGGTAATTGCAGGTCACCTGTGAGGATCATTAATCGTCATGACTTTTTTAGATGTAGGGATGTGGCTAAGCTTGAGGTACATATGGCAGATTTATAAGGATGGTACATTATACTTATTGGTGGTGGCGCGGTAGCCTCATGGTTAGTGCGCTCAACTCCGGATCAAGTGGTCCGGGTTCGAGCCCCGGTCAGGACATTGTGTTGTGTTCTTAGGCAAGACGCTTTACTCTCACAGTGCCTCTCTTCACCCAGGTGTATAAATGGGTACCGGCAATTTAATGCTGGGGGTAACCCTGCGATGGACTGGCATCCCATCCAGGGGGGAGTAGAAATACTCCTCGTCGCTTCATGATACAGAAACCAGAGTTAAGCACCGGCCTAATGGGCCACTAGGCTCGTAAACAGACTTTACCTTTACCTACTTTGTGCTTGTTGACAAGGGTCCAAAATGGGACCTGGCTAAAGTTTGAGATTTCAAGGGATTAGTGGATATAACAGCCATGAAACACAGACAGCATGAGGCAAGCTGAAATTGTGAAACTCCAAAGTGTCAAAGGGTTAGCACATCCAAGACTTAAGAGAATTTGGCACCGCTTTTTATGTGTAGTAAAGACAGACAGTTTTGAGAAAAGGGTAACAGTAATGAAACGCTAAATTTTCTCTTGATTTTAAGGTCAAGAAATTGTGATAATCAGCACTTTATGAAGAGAATGAGAGATAGAGCATATATGTCAGTTATGAGACTGGATTAAATGGTGAATGCTATCTAAATTGCAGATTGGTGAAGCCAGAGCCTTGTATAACCTTGGAAATGTGTATCATGCTAAAGGTAAACACTTTGGTCGAAATTTCCACCAAGATCCTGGAGAATTTCCTGAAGAAGTGCGGTCTGCACTGGAAAGAGCTATTGAATTCTATGAGTAAGTTATTCCTATTTATCCCTTTAAGATTTCTTTTGATAAATTCTATCTGTAATCTTATGTCCAATGTCAATCCGTAGAGGAGTAAAATTTGTGTGCATGCCTCCCCTATTTCAATCACTCAAATTTTTTATTGATTAATTTTAGAGCCAATCTTTCCATTGTGAAAGAACTTGGGGACAGAGGTGCACAAGGGAGAGCCTGTGGCAATCTTGGCAACACTCACTACTTGTTAGGAAACTTTGAACTGGCAATCATGTTTCATGAGGAGGTGTGTGTGTGTTTTTTTTTCTGCTATTTACTTTGTTCATTTCACCCCCTCCTGACCCAGCTGCCCTGGACACTCAACTGCCTTGCAACCATAGGGTCTCATCCCTCTGGCTGAGCTGTAGCATGGTACAAGCCTCAGTGTCAATCCTACAAAACAGCATGTGAAATGCATGAGATAGAGTGGCCCATTTTAAGAAGCCCCCTTTTACAGAAAAGCAAGCTCCTAATTAACTGGAGAGTCAAAAGCCTACCTTCCCCATCCCTGAACTTTAAACCCCTGCACTTTGATGGGGGCCAGGCAGGCTTGAAGGTGGGTGATGCCCACTTCTTTAGACTCTCAACAACCCTTCAACAACGAGGTGTTCACGCACCAGTTGAGCTGTGGCAGGGGATGAACTTGATTGGCAATCAGGCATGTTTATGACTGTCGTAATGATATAATAAATTTTTTTAATAAGTGCTCTTGGTTTTTTTGGTGGTGTTTTTGTTGTTTTTTTTCTTATTAAGTTAATACTTATTACTGGCTTGCTGCTTTTTTTTCAATTCTCTGAAAGCTTGCAACAGCCAGGTGGAAATTTCTGATTACCTCTGTTAAATGTGTGCAAAACACCTTGAGAGCCACAAGACAATAAAGGATTCATTTGAACTCTCTCTTCCCCCCCCCCCCCAAAAAAAAATGGGCCAAACAAATAAACAAAGCTAGTACCTCACCACATCACAAATTACATCACTAGACAGGTTGCTTGTTGGATCAGGTTGCTTGTTGGATCAGTAAACTTCAAATTTACAACTACTTTTAAGTTCCCCCACACTCTTATATGTTCCTGCCGGCCTCTTCCAAATAAGCCACATCCCTCCTGGCATCTTTGGCTTTGAGTTTTTAATATGCCCCCACTTTATTTGATTTTAACAATTTGTCTTTGTGGTTACATAGTCAATTCCAATACTGACCAGTACCATTTAGTGCCTTAGCTAGATTTTTGTTGTAACTTTTCTATTTGTTGTGCTCTGTATCCAGAGGTTAGTCATTGCAGAGGAATTTCATGACAAGCCAGCAGAGAGACGTGCTTGTAGTAACCTTGGTAATGCGCATGTTTTCCTTGGGGAGTTTGAGGTTGCAGCTGAATATTACAAGTGAGATAACCTTTTTAATTGTGTTTTTGAAAGTGAAACCTTTCACTGCTAGATGACTGCTAGGTAACTTATTTTTTTCTTTTTTTTAAACAACTTTATTGGGTTTATAACATAGTACTAACTACAAAAAAAAGAAACATATTTCATAGAGACAAATTAAACGAAAATAGGAACAAAAATAATTCTAACCCAAAAGTGCAGGTGCAAATGGGACTGGCATCCCATGCGAGGCACCACCCTGTTCCCTTACAGTATTCATTCATTTTTTAGTAGAAAGGTAATGAGAAGAAAGAAAATCATCAACTTGGAAATATTATTCAATTTATCACAAAATTCTTAGAGCTAAAATTATAAGAAACTTTTGGGAAGATATTAACGAAGGGAGAATTGAAGTCTTGGAACAAAGGGGTTAAGATATAACCAGATGACCCTCTGACACTTGAGTGACTAGCATCTAATTTCTCCTTACAAGATCACCTTTGAATCACATGTTAGAGTCACCAGAATAAAGGAAATGATCACCAACTCGAGATTAGCTCTTGATTGTTAAACAAATTCTCCTTGCCAACACCTTAGGAAATGACTAGAGAACAGTGTTGAGAATGCGCATACTGGTCAGGTGTTAACCCTTTCACTTACAATGCCAATACAATATCAAGAAGACAAGTGTTGCGAATAAAGAAAAATATCAACCAGTGGATTATTAGTTGATCAGATACCAAGTTCTCTAAAAAAGGAACATCAGAAGAATTGTATCACAGACAGTAGGGAGAATTACTAAAATGAGATCTCGGGAGTGAAAGGGTTAAGTTGTAAAGGGTCAGTGTCTTGTGTTCCTGCAAAATGAACTTCACTCTTACTAGACCTCCCTGAGCCTAATAGAGTAAATAATCAGCAGTGAATTGTTATGGAATTTTTTTTTACCTCTTGTCGTCACGTTATTGAAAGACACAGTACTCGTGTTTGGTAGCCAAGTTGTTTTGTTTGCTGTTTTCTCACTGATACAAATGTTCTCAGATAAATTTAAGGTAAAAACAACATTAGACAGCATCTTTTGACAAAATATTTTAGCACAAGCTTTCCATGGCTTTTAAAAATCAAAGCAATTTAATTTGTTTGATCAACTTCCCGGCCTTCCCCTTCTTCTGCCATTACAGACTAAATAGCCTTCAAAGGATATGGAAAAACAAATTTGACAAAATAGATGACATTTTAAAAAGGCATGTTTCGACTGTAAGTACTGTCATCTTCAGTTAAAAATGTACAAAGTTGAATTTAAAGTGTATAGTTAATACTCACGGGATAAACAACAGTTAAGACAAAAAAAAAAAACAATTATATATGCAATTGCAATTGTAATTGCATTTTAAAAATTTCTTTTATTTTGTCAAGTTTGTTGCATATCTGCTCGTATCTAGACCATATCGAAAAACATATTTGTGCCTTTGTATACAATGCATTGTATATATCAATGTCATACTGCGGTAAGGAGCGGGTGAGGGAAAACTAAGAAAAGTAAGTGTAGGAGTTCATTTCCAAGTACAATTTACATCACAGGTGGCAAAAGTGGGAAAGTGTTTCTTTATTTTGTCAAAGATTCTAGACTTCAGTACACCCTAGAACTGAGACAGCTGTATCCCTCGTGGAAACGATATCTAAAAACTTGAAAATGTACCAATGAAGAGTATGTGTGCCAGAAGAAACCATGGCCTGTAAACCAATCAAAACTCAGGAATTGCAATATTCCATGAGTAGTTTTGATAAGCTTAATATATAATTTTATTTGCAGGAGAACACTGGCTATATCACGTGAACTTGGAGACAGGGCGATTGAGGCACAGGTAATTTGAAGTGGTCATCAAACATAGTGTATAGAAAGTGGATGAAGAAAGATGTTGAAGTAGATCGAGGTATTATTTACACGTCATTAGCTCTGGACAAAGTAAAGATCTCAGACCACTGGATTTCTCAGTGCCGTGCTGTACCAAAAGAGATTTCATGTTGCCGTACGTCTGTTCATTAAGAGATCATAGATGGCGTCGAAATGTTTTAAGGACAAAAAAAGTGGCGCACAAGGCGCAACCAAGTGTGTCACTGATGTTCTTACCCAGAATTCCCGCGCTCCTTGAAAGCCCTTGAATTTAATTTTTTGTTTTCAACGACTTGAAAACCCTTGAATTTAGACTCAGGTGCTTGAAAATTTCTGAAAAGTCCTTGAAAATTAGTGCAGATGAATCAAAGTCGAAGTTTTCTTTTGTTTTCGGTGTTGATAGCGTAAGTTTCCATCGCAAATCACGAAAACGAGTTTTCCTTTCAAATCCCGCGTCCGATCACGATATTTGACTTGTGATTTTTGCATATTTTGTACCTGATTAGTGCGTCGAAAATAACCGTGGTTAGCTAGCACGTGATCACTCTGATGTGCATGCTTGAAGTCACACTCGTTGGACTTTTCGGCCGGTCCCACACGCAATGTCTTTTACTTGCATTAGCTCCTATTTACTCTAAAAGGTCCTCGAATTTGAGAGCCAAGGTCCTTGAAAATGACCTAAAAAGTCCTTGAAAGTCCTTGAATTGGGTGACTGCAAGAACCCTGGTCTTACCACAGTTTCACGCAATCTGTGTCTATTGCCGTGCAGACCCGTGACAACATGGAATTTATTTGTTTCATATGTTAAAAAAGCAAGGTATTGTTCATGATGACGTCATCTATGCGTCTGTCTCCAGTAGATCATCATGAAGAACCAATCAAATTACGTTTATCATTCAGCTTAGCATGTACTGAGCTATAGAAAACTCTGTGGTGAGCTAGACCATTTCTAAGTAAATATGTGACCAACGCCTTTGAATACTGCCAAGATCGGCAGTGTTGAAATAGTGAAAAAAGAAATGGTAAAAATTTGAACACGGTCGTCGAGTTAGAATAATGGTGTTCGGTTTTGGCTATAGTTAGGATATTGAATTATTTGAGCAACGTTCGTGACATTACAAAGAAGTTTGCTAATTAAGTCAACTGTTTATATCAACCGTCCATCCGTTAAAAAAAAATATTCCTCCAAACAGGACTACGCTCATTCGGCAAATCCTCTCGTCCTAACTTTATAACAGTGAAACCTTATAAACATGCCTATTTCTTTTCCTGAAAATCCAGGCCTGTTACAGTTTAGGAAACACTTACACTTTACTCAGAAATTACCAGGAGGCAGTGAAATACCATTCCAAACATTTGGAGATTGCTCAGGAATTGGGTGACAGGTACCCTGCTTTGTTTCTGATTTTTAAGAGTTCTCACATTCTTTTTAATGGATAATTACTTAAGCTGCCTGAACCACTTGTTTTTGTTTTTCAATTTACACATTTGGAGCAGAAAAGCAGAAAACAAAAGTCTCCCAAATGAGAGAATCCTTAACACTTCTTTGCTTGAGCACAGAAGTCAAACTTTAGCTATTACTCCAAAAGTGCATAATCCATGAAACATTCAAAGCCTTTAATTACCTTTTTGTCTTCGTTATGCTTTCCTTTCTATGTGATTACGTTAGTAGCTCAGTTGTACGCTGGTCATTCAAATGCGTTAAACTTTTTATTGTTGCAGAGTCGGCGAAGGTCGGGCTTGTTGGAGTTTAGGAAATGCACACACAGCGTTAGGCAACCACGAAACAGCTCTGGACTACGCGCAGAGACATTTGGGTATCTCGAAGGAGGTAACATGAAATAACACATACAGACCAATAGTGAAGTGTACACGTAATTTTCCAATAGTTCAACTTAATAATTTAGAGGTGCTTCAAAGAGACGCTTCACGGTCGTGTTTTCTTTGCAAGAAGAACTAATTCTTGCTAGCGAAACAGCAAGCTGGGTCAAAATCTTTGAGATAATTTTTCAAAGAAAATTTTCTTTGACTAAGAAGCCTTGGAATTGCGTTTTACGTCTGTAGAAAACTGCCAGAGAGGTAAGAATAAATGAATAGAGGCTTATAGTTTCTAAAGAAACTGTTTGGCGCTGCGTCGGTGGGGGTAACGAAATAATTTGAATATATCAACAAAGTAGATAGAAATGGTAAATTGGCCACCGTTACGGTTATAAAAGCTGACGTTTCGAGCGTTAGCCCTTCGTTAGCTCCGACGAAGGGCTAACGCTGGAAACGTCAGCTTTTATAACCGTAACGGTGCCCAATTTACCATTTTTACTTTGTTGATATATTCAAATTATTAGGTAAGAATAAACCAGAGGGAAACCAGGATGGCTTAGGATGGAGAAAATTGAATCGAATTGCTAACCCTTAACGTAATAAGAGAAGAAAAAAATGAGCTTACGTTTTCAAACTCTTGCAGACCGTTAACGATGCCACTTTAGTTTCCGTGCTGATAGACAATTTAAGGACTTTTCACGCCTGGCTCTTGCGATGACACCTCCTTAAACGTTCTTGTAATAAAATAACCAAGTTTATTATTTAAAATTTTGCATTTTCTCGGGAGTTTGTTTTGAAATGGCAATTTGTGTACAGTCGTAAGAGTTGACTGACAAAAACTTGTACTGGTGGGTCGTATCGCAGAAAATCGAAAAATTATTGAGTTATTCATAATTACAATGGCTGGATTTGCAGCTGTGTGATTACTTTTGTGTACAAGACTAAGGTGTAAATCAGCCATTTTCACGTTTTAATGACTCCTTGTCAAATTTGTGTAAATAAAATAAAAATTAAATTAAATAAATAAATAATAAATAATTTAGCAATGGACATTCCATTTCCCTGCCTGGCACGCGTTTCTCAGAACGGATAGAAAAAATAGTTTTTATAGATAGATCTTATCTTGCTAGAACCTTGTGCAGTAAAGATGACGATTTTTTTCGAGAATTACTGAGGTTTGGCTGTCTTTCTCTTCCTGGGAGCGTACTGAAAAGCTTTTTCACGGTGTGGAAGAGCAGTTTCGTTTTGTTGTGGACAGAATGTTTCACCCCATAAATTACCTTGGCAAGTTGAATGGGTACTAAGCTGCGAAAGATGTAACGGAAATTTCTTACTTTTTTAGCGCTGGTTTGATTCAGTGATGAACATGAATTTAAAGTATGCCCAAACAACAAGGTTTTTACAAAAGTTCCAACAACTGATCCCTTTTTGTTTGTGGTGGGTGTTTTAGTAAATATTGTATCACTTTATACTTGAAGGAGCTTTCCTTTTGTATTCAGTTTATTTCGTTTTGTTTGTTCAGCTTGTGTATTTACATATGATTCTCTATTCCAGGTTGGAGATCGTACTGGGCAAATAACGGCGCAGATGAACATCTCTGACCTTCGGGCCTTACTTGGAATTGAAGACGATTCTCACGATACGTAAGTGTTGTCATTTCTTAGACTAGAAACTGCCTTACGAACTTTATCGAAAAGCGCTCTGCAGAGGCTTGATTACGTTATTGAACACGCAAATGCCGAGTGGTTTTGTTCACGTTTGTTATGAATTACTACAAGCTCGAAGCTTACAATTTGAAAATCTGAAATCTATTTTTTTACAAAGTCACTATCACCTTATAGACTAAAACAATCCTCATCGAAAATAATTTGCTTTTCCATTCAAACCAGGGCCACTGAATTATGAATGAGTTTTGAGAAATGTGTATTTTAGGCTGCAATACTGGCGTATATTTGGCGAGTGAGCGTTCAGTAAGCGTCCTGTGTGAAAAGTTTTGCCGCCATTTTGGATTTTAAAAGGGCAGGTTTTTTTTTTTTTCCGATGGGGTAAACGACAGCCGTCATCGTCCTCTTATGTTCTTGCAGGAACTCAAACAACTCAGCTCCTGGAATTGCTGAGGGCGCGCATCGAAGCAGCCCCGGATCCATAAAACAACTCTTCAACAAAAAATCCAGTAATTTTGAAGGAGGTAAGCAACGACGGCGGCCATCAACATCAAAGCAACTAGGT